TCTCCCGACTCTCCAGTCAGTGTCCCACCGCGTCACCGGCTCACCACGGCACACGACTCAAAAAAACCGATCACCGGCTTTTTCAAATTCCGAATTTAGGCTGTTTTCTCTGCGAATATCCACAACATTATCGCTCTTCCGTTGCACATTTTCAATACGGAGAACGTTTTGGCGGATTGTGTCAAGGTAATAAGCCAAGCTTTTTGATGTAATTTGCCTAATTTACTTTAGGGAATTTTCCTCTTGGCGATTTTTGTTTGCACATTTGTGTCATTGGTTTGGCTGAGGGAGCAAATCATTCACGGCGGACCACAGGTGAAAGCATTTGCAGATTGATCCAAGAAGAACATTTTTGGCTTCTTTCATTTTTCTATTCCATTTTTCAGGAATGGCTTCAATTAGATGTGCATATGGACAATGGAGAAGACGGCGATGTTCAAAGGAGGAGAAGAGAACGAAGAGAAAGGAGAGTTGCTGCAAGAGAGCAACAAGGACAACAAGAACAGCACGAAGAACAAGAACAAGTAGCACACGATCAACAAGAGCACGCTTCTGTTGAGGTTATCAGTTAATTTGTACCGTTTAGACAATCAACTTTTAGCAAGCCCCTCTTCGTGAAGAGTTACCGGAGGAACAAGTCGATTTTCTACCAAGTGAAGAACAAATTCTGTTTCAGAACCCAGAACAAGGTCTGAGCTTGGATTTCTTGAATTGTTAATTGAATCGTTTCTAGAAACGACTGATGGCAATGAGTCTACAGAATCGATAAGTACGAGTGATAATGAATCGGATGAAGACGAAGAAGAGGATGATACGAATTCGAATGAAGGTAACGTCAAAAAAGCGCATGCATTATCAACAGTTAACGGAAATCCCCATATTTAGGCGATGCACACGTTGAAGAGGGACAACCAGGGGCGGAAGCCGATCCGGGTCCGGCCGCCGAGGAGGGGTGGAGAGATTGGGATCGATTGGGAGATGAGTTGACATGGCAGGTTGGGTGATGGGAAAAATTCGATCTATTTACTATTGATGCTTTCAGCGACTCATCGGTCTTGACGGCTCATTTGTCTTCATCGAACACGTCTTTTGGGTGATCGCGCTTAACACTTTGTTCACCGTCCTATTTGGTAATTTTTGAATTAAATGTTTTTTAATAAACTGTTTTGTTTAGCTTTTTCTCCATTCAAACTTGGCTCATGGATTCTCTTAGCGACGGGCATTCGAGCGAAAATCACGTTTTTCCCATCACTTGCCTCAATTCTTACAGGTTTGTTTAAAACAAAAAAACTGATACTAGCGACAAAATGAACAAGTTTTAGGTTATCTTGCGATCTCAGTGATTGTCTTCTTTGTGCACGGTATCTGTGGAGCGTTGCGGTTCAAGGGGTATTTGTGAAGATTCATTTATCATTTTACCTCTCATTTTTAGTCTTTATCGTTTATTGGGAATCGTCTACTTGGTTTTGAAGGTGTTTCTTCTTGTTTTAGTTGAAATTGGTGAGTTGACTGACTAGCTTTTTTTTAGCATTTTTTACATGTTTCAGCTGCTTTTCCGATACTTTGCGGCTGGTGGATGGATCTTTGCTCATTGGTGAGTGTTTTTTGAAAGTTTAGCTAATATTACTGTTTACTTCAGCTCAGATATTACTGTTTTTAGGTGCTCTTCCAAGCGACCCTATCATCTCGTATCAATTCTTTTGCTGCATCGCCGACTTCTTCACTCTTCATTCATTGGATGATTGGAATGATCTATGTTTTCTACTCGGCCTCATTCGTTTTGTTGCTGAGAGAGGTGAGTGAAATGAAGTAAAATTGTGAACAAAAATTTGTTGACCTTTTGAATTGAGAAGAGGAAAGAGAAGAAGGAATAGCGGAACAAAATGCACAAGCACAGATCAATCCATCTAATAAAGCTCGTTTTCAGGTGCTTCGACCTGGAGTTTTATGGTTTATGAGGAATCTCAATGACCCCGAGTTCAATCCAATCATGGAGGTGGGTTTTTTAAAATCTAGCTCGTTTAAAAAAGTTTCTAATCTGAATCTCTAATTTTAGATGATCGAATTGCCCGTTTCTCGGCATTTACGACGTCTTGTTGCTTCAACGGTAAATGAATTTCGAATTGGTCAACCTTTTCTCTCCTTTAGTCATTGTTCTTCATGGCGATTCTGCTGGTCATCTATGTTCCGTTGAGGATCATTCAGGTAGTTTCTAAATGCATATCTTCTAAACGCGTCATAACTTTAGAACATTACTCCACAAATCTTGCCTTACAACTTGAGCTTGACTGCCGAGACGCCGTTGAGTGAATTGAGCTTGGAGTTGCTGATTTTACAGGTATTTGAAAGGTGTTGTTTGAAGAAAAGTTATTTTTTGAAAATTTCAGATTGTTCTACCCGCTCTTCTTGAACAAACGAGCGCGCGAGTTGTGCTGAAGAAATTTGTTCGGTAAGTCGGAATGTTAAGAGGGGAATGTCGAAACCAAAAGTGAGGCGAATTGTAATTATAGATTTGGAAAAAAAAAATTCGAAATAGAAACTTCATTCCAGAGCATGGTGCGTGGTTGTGGGACGAGTGCTGAATTTGGATCAATATCTTTTGTCGGAAAATCATCCACCACAACAGCAGCGACCACCACCACCACCCGAACAACAACAACATGGGCCTGATGAGAGGAATCTAATCGACGAACTGGCTGATCTTGGAGAAGATCCAGCTGAAGTGGAACGACAAAGAGAAGTGGAAAGAGAAGAACGAATAGCGGAACAAAATGCACAAGCACAGATCAATCCACAGATTGACATTGGAGGTAGGGCATTGAAATGGGAGCAACATTGATGAGATAGTGCAAAATTTGACGCTTTTCACCAATATTCTATTTTTAGATGATGACGGCTTAATGGGAAACGGCGGTCTAGCGGCGGAACATCAAGCGCTTTTGCTTCTCAGGTAATTTTTTCTTGATTAGATCAAAGAGATCAATGTTTTCTTGCAAAGCAAAATATTTTTACGGCTGATATCGTTTAATTTAGCAACCGGATAACTTTCTTTAAATCCTAAATTTCTTTTTTTGTTTTGAGAGAACCGATGATATACGAGCCCTACCAACGCCCGTCAGTGTTTCCACTTCGCATCATTGCCCTATTGGTGGCGCTCTCCGTTTCGGCAACTTTCATCAGCACTCTTTGCTTCATTATACCTGGTAGCTTTCTCTATTATCAAGATGAATATTTATTCCCGTTATTTAGTTCTAATTGGTCGTTTCTTTATCTACACGGTTGCTGCAACGAAAAACGTTCATGAGTTGTATGTTTTGACTTTTTAATCTCCAGGCACAGATTAATTTTAGGTATACGATCAGCTCGGGATTGTACATTTGTTGGCTGTTCGCGAAGGTGGGCTTGTTTTCATAGATAGTGATAGTTCTCGGAACTTTAGCTTTTCGGAAAATCTAAACTGATTTGAGTCATAAAATATGTGAACACATATTGTCGTTTTTAGTTCTCAGCAACGTGCATCGAGTGGTTCAATCGTGGCCGTGCGCAACTCTCCGCACGATTCCACTCGACTCTTCGTTGGGTCGGCCGAATGTTGTTGGTGTTGTTCCCGGCGCTTTTCGTCATCCCATATCTCATCGGTCTCTCATTTCAACTTGTCGTCGTTGCTCCGTTGCGAGTTGGACTTGATCAGGTGAGAGTTTTATTTTTTTTGATCACTTTTATGCGTTTCATTGTTGACTGTTTAGACACCAATCTATTTCCCGTGGCAAGAGTGGGCGATGGGCGTGTTACACATGAAGATTTTCGTCGCTGCAGTGATGATGGGACCGGAGTGGTGGATGAGGGCCGCTTTTGAGCAGGTTTTATGATCAAAATTATCTTTTACAATAGTGACAATTCAGATCTATCAACAAGGCGTCCCGGCGCTAGATGTGCGTTTCATTTATCGCGAGGTTTTGATCCCGGTGATCGTTGTTCTTTCAATGCAAATCGCTGCCCCGTATGCGCTTGGACACTTGTTGAACACGTTATTGGGTGGGTTTTTGGATTTGTGGGGAAATTTCGGGTACTTATCTTGTACGCTTTTATGAAAGTTAAGCTCAAAAACATCTTTACTGAAACATCCTCTTTTTGTTGTTCCAGGAGCATCTCCAGATGAGGCGGTGGTTGTGCTTCGTTTCTCGTACCCATTTTGCCTCTCGGTGATCGGTGTGGCTGTGTTTGTCGTCTGGCAAATTCACAAACTGGGAGCCCTCGCTCAACATATCAGGAATGAGAAGTGAGGAATTGGAGGAATATTTTTGAGTTCGAGTATCGGATCTCTTCGATGCGGCTTTCTTAGGTTTTCTTCAAACTAATCGTCTGTGGCGACTTTCAGATATCTCGTCGGCACTCAACTCGTCAACTACGAGCGACGCACTGAGGAGAAGGCTGCCGAATCGACAGCTAGCGGAATGGATCTCATCTAACCCGTGGTTCGTCTGTGATTCGATCGACTTTTATGGCGATATCATTTCCCGAGTACAGGTCGATTTTCGTTTTGTTTTTCACCACTTTTTAACCTAATCTTATCCAAAAAAAAAGATTTAGTGTTGATTTCTATTTAATCACAAAATATTCTTGTCTCTCTTTCTCTTTCTCTTTCATTTCTTGTGTTAATTTGTACAAAAGAGGGAGTTCCGTGAGAGATTTATCGATTTTCCTTACATCTTTATCCATCCATTTATCTTCGATTTATCTTCAATTTGAATGTTTCTTTCCTCATTTCTCGAATCCGGTGTTGATTTGTGTTGACAGTACTGTGATTTATTTGTGTTTTTGTGCTCCCTTTTTTTTGTGTTATCTATTTTTTTTTGACAACTAGCCTAGAGCTTTCGTTCATTCGTTCGTTTTTCTCAAATTTCCTTTACATAGTCTTGTCTTGTATGATATATTTGTGTGTCGTGACGCGAGGATTGACCGAAAATAAAGTTTACAATTTTTCGAGTGAGATTAGTGGGATGATCATGTTTGTACTCGAGAAAATGCCTTGGTGTTTGAAAATGAGCGGGATTGTTTGAAAGGCTAAGAGTTGGAGTTGGCTAAGAGCGCCAGGTTAAGAGTTGGAGTTGGAGTTGTGTTGCAGTTAATGCGAAAAACGATAAAAGCTCTTTCGTTTTCTTTTATCACTTTGAGCATCATTTCTTCTCTTTCTCAAAGCTCACATCACTTTTGAAAAGGAGAAATGCCAAAAAGAAATTTTCTCTCGAAAATTTTCCACCATTGTCCGCTTTTCTCCCTTTTTCCCTTTTTCCTTTTTTTTTGATAGAAATCTCTGAACTCTTATTGGGAATGTTTTTGAGAATTTTGAAAATGCTAACTTTTTTACTGTTTTTACTGTTAATCATTTTTAGTCAATCCGTATTTTCGGCAGAAGTGGACAGGTTTAGTGAAATTTTAAATCTTTTGTAGGATTTTCGTTTGTCTCTAGATTCACCGTAAAGCGCACGTATGATTTGCCGATTTTGAGGGATTTCTCGTCGAAGGGTCGCATCGATCGTGTTTCTGAATTCTCGGTGATTCCGTCAGCTTTCCCGACCGAGCATTTCTTTCCGAAAGACATCGTCTTTGCAACGGGAAATGGATTGACGATTTTGGAGGTTTGTAGAAAGTTGATTTTGATTTGATTCGTTGATTTTGATTAGATTTCTTTCTTTTTGCTTTTGGGTCTTTAGTTGGGTCTTTAGTAGGTCTTCTAGGTCTTCTAGGTCTTCTAGGTCTTCTAGGTCTTCTAGGTCTTCTAGGTCTTCTAGGTCTTCTAGGTCTTCTAGGTCTTCTAGGTCTTCTAGGTCTTCTAGGTCTTCCTAGGTCTTCTAGGTCTTCTAGGTCTTCTAGGTCTTCTAGGTCTTCTAGGTCTTCTAGGTCTTCTAGGTCTTCTAGGTCTTCTAGGTCTTCTAGGTCTTCTAGGTCTTCTAGGTCTTCTAGGTCTTCTAGGTCTTCTAGGTCTTCTAGGTCTTCTAGGTCTTCTAGGCTAGGTCTTCTAGGTCTTCTAGGTCTTCTAGGTCTTCTAGGTCTTCTAGGTCTTCTAGGTCTTCTAGGTCTTCTAGGTCTTCTAGGTCTTCTAGGTCTTCTAGGTCTTTAGTTGGGTCTTCTATTGGGTTGGGAAGTTTCCCTTTTTTTCTCCCCGTCTTCCCAAAAACCCGCCAAAACCGCTGAGTTTTTTTGGAAGACGGTTTTAAATTTGCCCGATTTGATCGTATAAATTTGCCTGATTTGGTCGTGTAATAGCTCACTTCAAAGCTAATTATCTAGCGGATTGAATGGGAAAAAAAACTGTTTGTCGATTCATCAACTCTCAAAGTTTTTGCTGCACTTTTATTGAGCTTTTACTACTGAACTTTAACCTATTCGTTCCTAGGTGTAAACGGATGTGGACTAGAATTTGGGTTAAGTTAAAAAGAGTGGATCCCTTTTTGATATCCCGCCATCTCTAACACCCCGACAACCCAACTCAACTCCTCCAACGTATTAGAGGGGAGTCCCTGTGAAATGACCGACCTGTACTGCAGTTGCATAGACCCGGAAGATATGTACCTTTATTTACGGTAGTACAATAAGACGAATAGATTACAAATGAGTCTAAGGGGAAGGGGGGGGGGACTCCAAAATGAGAGTCTCACTTGTCCTCCTAGGCAATCCTAAGGACCGCCCCTTCTCGGCAATAAAAGGGATAAGCACAGGGGAGAACACATTTGCATAAGAATAGACAAATCATTCAATAATAACAATAGTAACTAAAATATCAGTTTGGCTCGGAGCTCTAAAAACCCCAAATTTCAAAAAAATTGACTTTATTTGTGGTTTTTTGTGCTGGGAAACCTGTGCTGAAATAATATTTTTCGGAATCAGCTTTAAAAATTATCATAAAATGCAATAAGGTTGTTTTTTTAGGAAATTAAAAAAAAAATAACTTGACCCGGAATCGAACCCTCGACCATTGGATTGCCACAAAACCTTTCTTTTTTCGATTCTTTTCCAATTGAAACTTTTAGAATAAACACCAAATTATTGTTCTTTCAATTGAAAAAAGTGAATAAATTTTAGGATAAATTAAAATGTGCCGAAAAAGTGCCGCATTCTGTCTACAGATTGAGTCGTGTGAAACGCGGGAATGCCCCGAAAAGAGCGCTTATTCTGTCGATTTCCGAGGTTTTTTTTTTTGAAAGAATAACGAAGATTTTGAAAACGTTTCTCAGAAAACGAACACTTTGGTGTATGAAATGCTTGCTGAATGGTGTCAAGAGGGGAATTCTCGCGAAAAGGCGACAATCTTAGAGAAGTTCGTTTAGAAATAGAGCTAAATAGATGTTGTAAGCGAATTGTTGTAAGCGAAAATGAATTCGAAACGAAAATAATTCGTTTTCTAAAAGATGCCCACGAGAAAAAGCTAACCTACTTGAGGTAATAGCTTAAAATGAGAATAGAATCTTTTTTGTGTGATTTAAATGTGATTTAAATTAGACAGGGTTACGGTAGCTTTCTTGGAAACTTTTTAGACACTTTAGAAAAGATTTAGATTAATAAATGAAATGCAATTTTTCAGCTTCTCCATTTATTTTCTTCCTTCACTCCCAAAACCGATTTCTTTATGTTATGATTATCGAGGAACTGAGGGATTTCAAGAAGTCATTGAAAAGGTAAATCTTTGTCTTTGTCTTTGTTTTTGTCTTTGTCTTTTTCTTTGTCTTTTTCTTCGTCTTTGTCTTTGACTTTGTCTTTGTTTAAAAGACTAATCCCCCTGAATCTCTGAATCTCTGAATCTCTGAATCTCTGAATATCTTTAGATCGTTGAGGAAATTGGGGAATTCGATTTGGTGTTGATCTTTTCAACGGGAGGAATAAAGGTGAAATTTTTTTTGGGAACACACAGTTTTTGGCGCACAGTTTTTTGGCGCACAGTTTTCATCGAGATTCAGAGAGTTAAAAAGCCTATCAAAAAAGCCTAACTTTGATTCAGATCCGCTACATATCAGCAGCATCGGAAAATGCGTCGAAAGACATCGAGAAACTCGCGAAAATCTACATGAATCACCATGGGGAGATGGGAAATGAAACGGGAATCGAAATGTGCACAAGTGGGTGCACTTTTTTTTGGTTTTTCGGGGTACTGTAGGTTTCTAGGGGGTACTGTAGGTATCTAGGAATACTGTAGATATCTAGGGGATACTGTAGGTATCCAGGGGTACTGTAGGTATCTAGGGCTACTGTAGGTACCTGGGGATACTGTAGGTATCTAGAGATACTGTAGCTGAATCGTAACTGAATCTAGACTGAATCTACCATAATCCTTAGAAAAGAGGATACCTTGTTCCTTAGAACAGAATCTATCGTAATTAGCGTACTGTAACCGGCTTAGAAATGAATCTATCGTAATCCTTAGCATCTGGAGTACTGTAATGTTGACTTGACGAGTATTTAGTGTAGCAGAAAGATGAGTTTCTATCGACTCTACTCGATTAGATGCAATTGCAAGAAAATAAAATAGACCCTAAGCTAAATTAGCTCGATATCGCTTTAGATTTCAAAGTACAGTCCTCCCTTTTAGATCCAAAACATGCTTTCTCACCAGAAGTACTCAAAGAGTTCAAATGGAAAGAAAATGGTTAGCAAATTACAAGCTTTTACGGTAATCCTCTACCATTCAGAGAATCTACATTTATCTTCGTCACTTCTTATTCAAATCTCTTGTTGTTATGAGGATGGCTTTGGAGGGAAAGGATATCAAGAAAATCGAGAAGCGATTCAAGCTGTTTTAAGGGAAATGTGAGAATTGATGAAAATTGAGATAAGCCTTTTTTTTTCCTATCAGTTGAGACTGGTGTTCTTTATGCGACAATCTAGTGTGACATCCAGATTGGTGATTTTGGGCTTTAAACAATTGGATTGTCGTAGAAAGTATATAAGAAATACGAGGAACCTTTCTGTACACTAATTATCCAAGTGCCTACGTTGCATAAATGCTGATTTTATGATTTCGAAAATCTAGTGTGACATCCAGATCGACCATTTTCGCCTTTAAACAATCGGATTGCGATAGAAAATATCAAGAAATCTCCGAGAAAGAATATGGCTCAATTACCCAAGTGCCTAAGCTGCATAAATGCTGATTTGATGATTTCGAAAATCTAGTGTGACATCCAGATACGCCATTTTAGCCTTTAAACAATTGGATTGTCTTACAAAGTACGGCTTAATTGCCCAAAAAACTGAAAAAGCGCTCTAGAATCGTTAAATTTGCGCCAATTTTGATGAAAATTTGAGAACTGCGGTTTTTCGAGATTGGAAATTCAATTCTGGGGGTTAATTTCATCGGGCTACATCATAGATTTTCGTTTTTACAGATAAAAAAGAGATTTTCAGGTCAAAATCCCTTCAATTGACATCGGTTGGTGTATTGGAGCTGAATTTCCGATTGCCTTTTCTCATCTTTGCCATCATTTTACTATTCATTGCGCTTTGTGTAAGTTTTTTTTTTGAGAAATTAACATAATTTGGCAATCTTTACAATCTTTACAATGAAGTCATTTTAAAATCCAATTTTTTTTTTCCTTTTTCAGTTCTGTCGTTTTTCTCTCTCATCGGATCGTCGGGATTTTCGATATACGAAAAATCGTTTTCTTTTGTGAGTTGTAAATGCCTTTTTCTTTTATGATTTTTTTGGGAGTGGGACAAATGCGACCTTTTCGTTTGCGCACCCTGACATTTGCGCACCTTTTTTTTTCCGCACCTTGCCCATTAGCGCACCTTTTTTCGCGTTTTAAAGAAAGCTCTAAAAAGCTGATATTAACGAATTTCTATTCGAAATGTTGTTTTTTGTTTTTCTAGGTAATTTTAGGGCGTAGAATCGAAATTTTGACATATCAAAGCTTGTGAAAACAAACGGACCGAGTTATACAAGAGACAAACCAATTTGAAAGACAAAACGACAAAATCAAATTACAGAAAATTACAGTCGATTTTTCTCTTTGTTTAACTCCGTCCGTTTGTTTCCACACGCTCCACAAGCTTCAAATTGGTTCCACAAGCTCTGATATGTCAAAATTTCGATTCTACGCCCTAAAATTACCTAGAAAAACAAAAAAAAAACAACTTTTCGAATAGAAATTGGTTAATATTAGCTTTTTAGAGCTTTTTAAAGCTTTTAGAGCTTTCTTTAAAACGCGAAAAAAGGTGCGCTAATGGGCAAGGTGCGGAAAAAAAAGGTGCGCAAATGTCCGGGTGCGCAAAAAAAAAAAGGTCGCATTTGTCCCACTCCCGATTTTTTTTCCACTCAATTTCAATCTGTGACGGGTTTACAAAAGAAGAATTTTTACCCTTTTCCTCAGACATTTATTCTCGAAAAAAAAAAGCGAAAAGCGAAAAACGAAAAACGAGGCTTTAACCCGGATTGTTTGATGTTGTTTTATGTGCAGAAATCGACCTCAACCGCGCCTAAAATTACCTTTTTTTTTGTTTTTTTTTATGACATCTGGCTTTAAAATCATCTTTAGAAGATGATTTTAAAGCCAGATTTTAGATTTTGAGCATTTTTGAGCATTTTTGAGCATTTTTGAGCATTTTTGAGCATTTTTGACCATTTTTTACTCACCACTTTCCTCTCAATTCTGCACCAAACGTGTCAAAATCGACCAAACGCAGAAAAAACCGGCGATAGAACCGGAGAATAACGAGAAAATGGCTAACAATGGCATTTTCTTGTTTTTTTTTGTTTGTTGATTTTTCACTAAAATTTCGCTAATCGATTTTTTGAAGGAAAACGAGAATTTGATGAAAATTTTTTGAAAAAAAGACGATAATTGAGGCTTTTGATGAGGTGAAAAAAGAAAAGAATTGAGGTTTTTCGATAGTTTCGATAGTTTCTAAAGGAAAAGTTGAAATTCTTGAGGAAACGCACATTAAGCACATCGAATTACCCGTATCGAAAAACCCTAGTTTCCCTAAATTTTCGGCAAAATTGAAGCAATTTTGACGATCTAGAGCAATCTAGAGCGTTTCTTCTTGTTTCTTGGGTAATTAAGCCGTACTTTGTACGAGAATCGGATTTTTTAAAGGGCAAAATGGTCAAACTGGATGTCACAGTAGATTTTCGAAGTCAGAAAAATGGGCATTTATGCAACGTAGACACTTGGGTAATTGAGCCATATTCTTTCCCTGGGATTTCTTCATATTTTGTACGACAATCCAATTGTTTAAAGGCGAAAATGGTCAATCTGGATGTCACACGAGATTTTTGAAATCATAAAATCGGCATTTATGCATTTTGGGCCATTTTGGGCAATTAAACCCGGCGACGAGGCGATGAGCCGTGTGCCAGAAGACGCGCGTATACGTGAACGCACAAAGAACACCTGTCAACTGTCTTTTTTTACGTTAAAAGCTGAAATTTCAAAGCTAAAAGATAGAAAACTTTAAAAATAGCAATTTCTTGCTTTGTTTTTCGTATTTTACGTAATCTTTATGGAAATTCGATCAGAAATTAGAGAGAAAAAGGCGAAAAAAAGATGGGGAATGACCATGAATGGATGGGGTTTTTCTTCAAGAAATGAGGAAATTCCCAGCCCTTTAATTGAATATTTTATGGGAAAGGGAAATAGAGTGGTGTTTAGCTTGTTTCTCAAGAAATTTTGCTTCAAAAAACTTAAAAAACGACCTTTTTCCATTAGGTGACAGGTGAACTTTGTGTGTTCTTTGTGCGCTGCCGTAAACGCTCGCCTTCTGGCACACCGCTCGAAGATTTGGTTTTTTGTGCGCCTTGGTAAACGCTCGCCTTCTGGGACACTGCTTGAAGAGTTCCGTTCTTTGTGTTCCCCCGTAAACGCTCGACTTCTGGGAATGATTGCGGGAGATGCCGTTTTTTGTGCGACCCCGTAAACGCTCGCCTTCTGGCACACGACTCACCGCTCGTCCGATTTACCCAAAAAACGGAAAAGTCCTCTAGAATCGTCAAAATTGAAGCAATTTTGATGAAAATTTTTTGGGAACTAGGGTTTTTTGGGGTGGAGAATTCGATGGGAATTTCCGTTTGACAAGATTTTAAGCCTTTTTTCTTGAGAAATTGACCGATTCATTCACCCAACTGAGCAAAAGTAGTAGAAATGCGCTAGAGAAATAGATAAAGCTAGAGAAAAGCGATTCCAGATTGATCTCACATCTCAATCTTTCGCAAATAATGCCAAGAGTTCTTGGAATAACTCTAATAAGAGCGCATGTCCGCGATTTTATGCTACACCTCAATTAGAATTTCCATTTTTAGAGAAAATTGAAGGATTGCGCGAGAGAGAGAGAAAAAAGAGAGAGAGAAAAAAAAGAGAGAGAGAGAAAAGAGAGAGAGAAAAGAAAGAAAGAAAAGAAAGAAAGAAAAAGAAAAAAGATTTCATTAAAGAAAGAAAAAAGACTAGATTTCATTAAAATTTACTTTCAAAGTTCAGAAATTATTTGGTGCTTCGAGAGAAAAGAGAAAAGAAGAGCCTCTAAAGGATTAGAGGAAGCTTACTATCGTATTAGAGTACTATCGGATATTAGAGTACTATCGTACTAGAGTACTATCGGATATTAGAGTACTATCGTACTAGAGTACTATCGGATATTACAGTACTATCGTACTAGAGTACTATCGGATTCGAACTATCCGATGGAAAAATGTCAACTTTTAGACTTTCAAAGACTCTCAAAGACTCTAAAAGACTCAAAAGCTTTAAATAACATTTCTGGATTCAGCGTAATAACAAAAAAAAAAGCGTAATAACACCGAAAACTCGATTGAAAATCTACGAGAAACTCGCGATTTTTAAGCCGGAAATTTGCGGATTTATGATTTCTTTTTTTTTGGAGAGACAAAAGCTAACTATTGAATCAATTCCCTGGATACAAATTTTTTTCCCCGAAAATCCTTGGATACAAATTTTTATTCTTATTCTTATTACAAAATCTTTATTGATGAACTTTTTTTTTGGAAAGCAAAAAGAACGAGTTTTGATGCACTCATGCACTGAATTCTTTACTTTTCTTTTTTTTTTTTGAAGAAAACAGCCTCGTTTCTCTGAAAAGTAGAGAATCCAGTGCACTAGAAGGCGTGTGTTTATGCCGATTTTATGATTTCGAAAATCTAGGCTGACATCCAGATTGGCCATTTTGGGCTTTAAACAATAGGATTGTCGTATAAAGTGTATCAGGGAATACCCAGCTACCGTCCGGCGTAATTACCAAAGTGTCTACGTTGCATAAAGGCCGATTTTATGATTTCGAAAATCTACTGTGACATCCAGATTGATCATTTTCGCCTTTAAACAATCGGGTTGCGATAGAAAATACGAAGAAATCCCAGGGAAAGAATATGGCTCAATTACCAAAGTGTCCACGTTGCATAAAGGCCGATTTAATGATTTCGAAAATCTACTGTGACATCCAGATTGGCCATTTTGGGCTTTAAACAATAGGATTGTCGTATAAAGTGTATCAGGGAATACCCAGCTACCTTCCGGCTTAATTACCAAAGTGTCTACGTTGAGTGAATACCGATTTAATGATTTCGAAAATCTACTGTGACATCCAGATTGACCATTTTCTCTTTTAAACAATCGGATTGCGATAGAAAATACGAAGAAATCCCAGGGAAAGAATATGGCTCAATTACCAAAGTGTCCACGTTGCATAAAGGCCGATTTAATGATTTCGAAAATCTACTGTGACATCCAGATTGACCATTTTAGCCGTCAGATTTTCGTCAAATTCATCAAATTTTACAAAAATCAGCTTAATAAAGTATTTTCTCGATTTATAACTGAAAAAGAAGCAAAAAAGCAACCCGGACTTGACTAATCGCTTGATTTTCGAATTCCCAGGAAATTAGCGTAAATTTTTCGAAAAATCGGGAATCACCTGATGAAAAACGAGTGAAAAAATAAAGAAAAATTTCAAGAAAATTCGAAAAATGACAAATTTGCCTTCTAGAAGCCAAATTTTGAGGGAAATTGAGAAAAATTGTTTTAATTTTCATAATTTTCATTGCCTTTCGTTTATCTGAAGAAATTTATCGGATTAGCATTGGGATTTTCATTTTCATTTTAAAGTGGTTTCATTGGACGAATTTTTCCGTTCTCGTGAATGTCCACGACGAAAACCTCGCCTTGGTTGTTTCGCTTTGAATCGTTTTGATCTGAAAAGTGATGCAGAAGATTATGGGTTACTGTAGCTCTTCGGTTACTGTGGCTTCTTTCAACTCACCGGCAACTGCATTGGTGCCAAGTCGGAAAATCGGTCGGAAAGATTTCCTCCAAGAGAGAACTCTCTGCCAGCCGGTCGGGTGATTGTCGATCGATTTACTCGACTCTTTACGGCTGAATGGAATGGATTGAGCTTTGGCTTAGGAGATGATAGAGTTTAGACTTTGGCCAGGACAGCCAGCTACACGACAGCCAGGTCCTAGGCCTGCCCAGCCAGCTACAGGACAGCCAGCTACAGGCCTGCCCAGCCAGCTCCAGGACAGCCAGCTACAGGACAGCCAGGTCCAGCCCAACCAGCGGCCGAACCAGATCCAGGCCAGGCCTGCCCAGCCAGGTCCAGTCCAGCCCAGCCCGATCCAGGCTAGTTTCTGGAGTTGTCTCTAGGCCAGTATCCCAGACGAAACTAGACCCAGATCTAATTCTTGGAGCTTCCTTTGGCTCTTAGAACCAAATTCCAGCTGGGTTCATCACCTGACATTCCAGACTAGGCCAGAAACTTATCGATCGTTGGCTGAATGACCAGATGAATTCTGGTCCCTTATCGACCAGATGAATGTCCAATTGTCTCCATTAAACTGACCTCTCTTCATTCAAAATATCAGCCGTATTCCTTCTGATCTTGTTCTCGAGTCCATTCATTGTCGTTTCAGTCCATTCATTCAGTTGATCCACTGAGAAAGCTCTTGGCATCATATGAACTTTATGGCCAAAGTTCACCAAACTGAAATCAATAGCTTGAATCAATAGCTTGAATAGCTTGAAAGAAAGAAAGGGTTAGCTGGTTTGCTTTGACTAAGGGCTTAACGGGATATTAGGGACGTCCAGATTGAGTCCAGATTGAGTCCAGATTGAGCCTAGTGTCTGAGTCAAGTCAGCTCAGATCTGGGCGAGGCTTGGCCAAGATTGGTCAAGATTGGTCAAGATTGGTCAAGATTGGCCAAGATTGGCCAGGTTTCGCCAGGCTTGCTCAAGCTTTTTGTCGGACATCCTGTATCTCATTTTCGATTCGATGAGCTTGTGGTTTGAACCCAGATCGATCTGGATCATTTCACGAACTTTATATGTGACACAGATCCCTCAAAACGTGTCTGTGGCAGTCTCGCCGATTCCTCTGTGTACAGCAATCGGGGTTCCTAAAGAAATTGAATGGCTGAGTGATTCTGGATACGTAAAGTTCTGAGTTGGTCTTTTTACAGGATAGGTCTGTACTGTTCTGTAGTCTGTACTGTTCTGTAGTCTGTACTGTTCTGTAGTCTGTACTGTTCTGTAGTCTGTACTGTTCTGTGGTCTGTACTGTTCTGTGGTCTGTACTGTTCTGTAGTCTGTACTGTTCTGTGGTCTGTACTGTTCTGTCCTCTAACCAGTCCTCGACACTGACCTGATCATTCCAGAATTGATCCTTCCTCAACTCAGGCGGATTATCGAAAGCTCGATCGACAATCATTAAACCCATCTGAAATTGAAATATCAATTACATTTAGACATTTACATTTACAATTACATTTTGTAGCCGATTATAAATGAAATTCTTTTAGAAAACCTTTCTCGTAAAGGAACTAGTAATCTTTGAGGACAATTTAATATCATTTCGTAGGGGAATTCAATTCTGCGTCGATTGGTATCAAATTGAGTTTAGGTTAAAAATTGAGGCCGCTACAACGTTTGATTCAAAATCGGTTGGGGATTTACGTAGCCGAGAGTCAGCTGAAGGTTCTGGATCAGCTGAAGGTTCTGGATCTGAATCTCAGCTGATCCTGAACCTTCAACTGACTCTGAATCCACAGCTGAGTCTAAATCTTCACCCAATTACGAATTAGTGAATCTAGAAACCTCCAATCATCAACTATTTGGTCTGATTCAACGCACAATCATTCATAATTATGTTCAATTTTTTAAATTAGCTAGATTGGATAAAAAGAAAAAGAATTAGAGCAAAAAAAAGTGTTTGTTAGAGAGAAAAATTTGAAAGTGCGTAACTTTTTTTCTTTTTATCCAATCTTTCTAATTTAAAAAGTTTAACATAATTATGAATGATTGTGCGTTGAATCAGACCAAATAGTGGATGGTTGGAGGTTTCTAGATCTACTAATTCATTGGTTGAAGGTGAAGAGTCAGCTGAAGAGTCAGCTGAAGGTTTAGAATCAGCTGAAGGTTTCAATACGGTTCCTATTTTGATCTAATACGGTTCCAATACGGTTCTGGATCAGCTGAAGGTTCAGAATCAGCTGAAGGTTCAGAATCAGCTGAAGGTTCTGAATCAGCTGAAGGTTCTGAATCAGCTGAAGGTTCTGAATCAGCTGAAGGTTCTGAATCAGCTGAAGGTTCTGAATCAGCTGAAGGTTCTGAATCAGCTGAAGGTTCTGAATCAGCTGAAGGTTCTGAATCAGCTGAAGATCCAGAATCAGCTGAAGATCCAGAATCAGCTGAAGACTCACAACCAGCTGATATCTAGATCATTCAAAAACATACGGTAATATTCCTGTCAATGAGCGCGTTTCCCTCAAAATCGTCATCATCTTCGCCGAACGGGTTTATGATCGTTTCAGCTACCTAGACACACAAAATGATAACACCGTCATCGATTTTTGCCCCTAGATAACTAAAAAAAGAAAAACAGCGCTTAAATTCTAAATTTATAGACAAAAATACGCGCAAATACCAAAAGCAAAACAAAAAACGCAAAAAGTACGCGCAAAGTAGCGTTTTTACTACTTTTTATATACAAAAGTAGCGTTTACAAACTTGATTTACTTTAAAAGCTACTTTAAAAGCTACTTTAAAAGCTAATTTTGATCTTTAGAGAAAAAAAGCTGCTTTTTGAGACGTTTTCATATTAAATTTGAGTTTATGTCGCAAATTTTAAATGTTTTCTTCTTCTTTTAATTTTCCCCCAACGTCGCATTCCAATTGACGTCGTCCAGACGTCGTCGCCATTTGGAGGGACGTTGATGGGAGCGCCGCGTCGTCGTTTTTAATCATTTCTTTTTTTGAAAAATGATACAGTCATGTGCAAAAGTCTTTTCATATTCAATTTTCTAAAAAGTTTCATCAATTTTCTTTGATAAAAAAAAAAAAAAAAAAAAATTCCTCTTTACCCTTTATAATTTTAATTTACAAAAAAAAATTAAAAAAATTTTTTTCCAACGTTATTTCAATAAACAAAAATTCATTTATAAAAAAAAAAAATTTTAAAAAAAAAACAAAAAAAATTGGGAAAAAATTTTCAATCAACCCAAAAATTTTTATTATTTTCGTTCGCTTCTTGTTTACTGGTACTAATTTATTTTTTTTTAGATGCCAGGAGCGTACTTGTCAACTCCGGATAAAGAAAGGATCGTCGAGGCAAGGAAGAAAGGAATGCCATGGCAAGACGTTGCTCGCCTCTTAGGATGTACGCCCACAACAGTTTTGCTTGTTACGGCTAAATGAATGCGTCTGGAAATGTGCACAGATATAAGAAAAAGGGACGATCGAGGATTACAACAAAGAATGAAGACCGATTTCTGACGAAAAATTTCAAGAAGGATCCGAATTTTACGTTAATTACGATGGAAGGTCATTCTTTTTCAAGCAAACTTCAAATAAGAATATTTCCCGCTGGACCTTGCATCGACGCTTGCTTCCAAGCAGCATTGCATACTAGAAGACCTGCTCGCAAGCCTATGATGACAGTCAAACACAGGAGGCAACGCCTTCAATTTGCTCGGACCTAATCAAATTGGACAATCAATGATTGGGCTCGAGTGATTTTCGTTGATGAAACAAAAGTTGATATTTTTCTTTCAAATCGAAATCCCCCGATCCGACGTCCAGGCCGGAAGGCGGAAAAAGCCCCAAGTAATATACACCCCCAATAAAAAAAGGCACAGGATCAATTATGTGTTTCGGTAAGGATAAGTTTTCTTTTTATGCAGTCCGAACGATTTCTTTAGGTGCGATGTGTAGAAGTTCAACAGGTCCGGTTGTCCTCGTAAAGTCGATGGCTCCCGGCCAATATATCCAGATATTGGACAGATGTCTACTTCCATTTGCGACTGCTTCGATGAATCCAGGATGGTTTCTTTATCAAGATAATTCGCACAGTACAAAAAAGCAAATTTTTGATGGGCCGCGTTGTGACTCTCTCGAATGGGAGGAAAAGCACATTTACCGGGATGGTTTGGGATCAATCACGTTTCCTTGATCAAGCGCGATTCTCACGAGGAATGCACAGAATTCTAGGCCTTTGCGCTATTTGCGAGGAAAACGTTTTAGCAAAATTCTAAAGTCGTGCTATGGTTTTACATCAGAAAAATTCGGAAGACGATTGGACCTGGGATTCTTCATGAATTAATTGCATCGATGCCTACTCGTATTAAAGAAGTACTTTTGGCAAAAGGAGGAGCGACTAAATATTGATTAAAGCTTAATTTTCGTTTTTTTTTTTATGAAAAGACTTTTGCACCACATTTTCCATTTCCAGACGCATTCATTTAGCCGTAACAAGCAAAACTGTTGTGGGCGTACATCCTAAGAGGCGAGCAACGTCTTGCCATGGCATTCCTTTCTTCCTTGCCTCGACGATCCTTTCTTTATCCGGAGTTGACAAGTACGCTCCTGGCATCTAAAAAAATAAATTAGCACCAGTAAATAGAAGCGAACGAAAAAAATAAAAATTTTCCCAAATGTGAAAAACGATGCTGCACCAGGATTTTGGGGGTGTTTTGACAATTATATTTTTTTTTCTCAATGAATAAGTGTTGTATAGAGATAAGCGATAACGTTTGTAAATAAATTGTACATATATTTGTGTAACTCAAACTATTAATAGCTTAAAGAGCGCCATGAACTTTATCAAAGAAAATTGATGAAACTTTTTAGAAAATTGAATGTGAAAAGACTTTTGCACATGACTGTAGGATCACCAAAATTATTGAATCTTTATTTCTTTTTCCTTTTTCCATTTTAAAAAAAAAATTTTTTTTTTTTTTTATTTTTAAAAAAAAATTTATATGAAAAAGTGCGGCGTGGAAAATCGCTTTCGCGGATCGGATAGATGAAAATTGCGATTTTGAAAGGAAGAAAGTTGCCGAATCGGAAGAAGATGATGCGCTCGCACCAAGTTGTCGCAAATTTCTTCTTGGAGGGGCCCTTCCATATTGGGGGGAAGAAGGATCTCTTTCAGGACGTCAGCAAGAAGAAGTCTTGGACGTCCGTTGATGGACGCTGGACGCTGATGAACACTGCTGGACGGTGATGGACGCTGATGGACGCTGATGGACGCTGATGGACGCTGATGGACGCTGATGGACGCTGATGGACGCTACTGGATGCTGATGGACGATTTTGAAAGGAAGAAAGTTGTCGAATCGGAAGAAAATGATGCGCTCGCACCAAGTTGTCGCAAATTTCTTGAAGGATCCTTTCAATTATGGCAAGAAGAAGTCTCTGGGACTTCACAGCCCTTTAAGCCAGTCCTTTAAGCTCAGTCCTTTAAGCTCAGTCCTTTAACTCCTGTAAATCAACTCACTTTCAGCCATCCCATGTAGAAAATGAACTCCAGCGTCTCCATATACGGAAAGTAGACGTCAAGCTGAAGATTTGCAGAAAAATCATTTATCCAAAACTTTATTAGTTAAATATTCAAATGACAAACCAATTCTTTTCCATCAGCATCCTGAAAGGTAAGCTGCCGCGAGATGAGTGCAACAGTGAAATGCATATGGACCATGAAGAAAACGACCTGGGAGAGTGGCTTTCAGAGGTTGTTTCAGAGGGATTTCTCGGCAGGAATACAGGAAGGGTCAGCCCAGGAACCAGGCCAAGGATAGAACTAGGACTAGGACTAGGTCTTGTCTAGCCTGGCTCTGTTGGCTTGGCTAGGTTGGCCTGTCTAGATTAGCCTGGCTATGTTGGCTTGGCTAGATTGGCTTGGCTAGATTGGCCTGGCTAGTGGCTGGTGCCCTGGCTTGCGGTTGGGCCGTTTGCCCGGTTGGCCTAGCTAGGTTGGCTTGGCTAGGTTGGCCTTTACCAGTCATAAGATGTGGTACGGCCTGGTTCAGCTTGGCTTGACCTGGGCCTAGCCGGATTACCAATATCAGGGTACAGACAAGCTTTCTGGGCCAGATCAAGCTTTTCCCTGAGTCAAGTCAGATAGATTGCCCACAACTCTCTGAAGTCTGCGATACCGTTGGATAGATCAAAGGAAACGGTGTCCAATCGTAGTTCCGTAGCCATTCCATATTCGTGCGGAAGGTGCGAATCTCCTGAAATTGAAATTTAGCAGATCAAGGACAGACTTGCTTCTGGTCAGGCCTAGCCTGAAATCTATGAGCCAAGCTAGGCTAGGTCAGAAGCCAGGCGAAAGACGAGTCTGGCCTTCTCTGGGCCTTCTCTAGGCCTTCTCTGGTTTCTTAGGTACAGTACCCAAACCCTTTGACTCACATTAAGCACAACCGTTTGATAGTAGTCACTCTCGATCAACCCAAGTTTACGTGCCTCATGGCATAGCTCGAGTGCCCATCTATAAGATTTTCAAGAGCTAGATTCTAGATCTAGATGATCTAGATTCTAGATCTAGAAGCTCTAGATTAACTCACCTGAAAGGCACCCATTGCATCGCGTTCTCTCCTTTATCCGAGTATTCTTCAAGTTGCTTTTTCTCGTCGGGTAGAAGAAAGCCTAGAGGTTTTTCTAGGGAAATTTGGGTCTAGGGCAATCTAGGCAATCTAGGCTTAGGCTTAGGCTTAGGCTTAGGCTTAGGCCACATACTACGGCCTAAGCTACATCCTTCGACCACTCTACCCACCAGCAGCCACGACAGAGTCCAATGTCGGGAATCTTCTTCTTACTCTCATTGAAATATCTCGAAAAAGCATGATCTGACCGACTTCTGAGTAGCTAAAGGATTTAGATTTAATTTCTAGCAAAAGAACCCATTTACCGTAGGATATTCCGTCGAAAACGTCTCCCTAACTCGTTGTGTCCGCGAACGTACTCGGCTGTCATTAAACCGATACTTAATAGTGGAAATTAAAAAGAATTCGCTCTAATAGATTATCTAATAGATCTAATAGATTATTCTCTGTCTTTTAGCTAGCCTGGCAATCTATCGTCGCTTTACTGGCAATCTATGGCCAGACTAGACCCAGCCCGTATCCAGAACTGGAGAGCCCAGGTCTGGACTTGGCTTGACAAGTCAGGCCTAAGCCTGACAAGCTTCTGGCAGGACAATTAGATCCAGGCACGCTTCTGGCAAGTCCAGGGCCTTTTTGAAGTCAGACTTGCAGCAATCAGCTCGGAAACTGACCTCTGATCTAAATAGAAACTCGAAAAACACGAACTTGTCAATGAATCCAATATTCAAGTAAAGAGTATTCCAGCGATTGAAAATGATTGTCACGAAGAAACCCATGAGGAATTCTAGTGGCAGATAGCTCATTCGATCCTTGAGAAAGAAGACGACCCTCTCGAAATCGCTAAACTTTGAAGTGTATTTTGTGGCAGTGTCCGTATTAAGTAACCAAGTGCTCAAGTTGAGTGAATGCCGATTTTTTGATTTCGAAAATCTAGTGTGACATCCAGATTGGTCATTTTAGCCTTTAAATAATCGGATTTCCGTATAAAGTATATAAGAAATACGAGGAACCCCTCTGTACACTATTTACCCAAGTGCCTACGTTGCATCAATGCCGATTTTTTTGATTTCGAAAATCTAGTGTGACATCCAGATTGCCCATTTTAGCTTTTAAGTAATTGGATTTTCGTATAAAGTGTATCAGAGAATACCCAGCTACCGTCTGGCTTAATTACCCAAGTGCCTACGTTGCGTGAATACTGATTTGATGATTTCGAAAATCCTAAGGTGACATCCAGCTTGTCCATTTTCCCCCTTTAAACAAACGGATTTGCGAAAAAAAAAATCAAAAAAACCCGGGGAAAGAATATGGTTCAATTAGCAAAGTGCCTAAGTTGCATGGATGCCAATTTGATGATTTCGAAAATCTAGTGTGACATCCAGATTGACTATTTTCGCCTTTAAATAATCGGATTGCGATACAAAATATGAAGAAATCCCAGGGAAAGAATATGGCTCAATTACTCAAGTGTCCACGTTGCATAAATGCCAATTTTTTGATTTCGAAAATCTAGTGTGACATCCAGATACGCCATTTTAGCCTTTAAATAATCGGATTTTCGTACAAAGTGTATCAGGGAATACCCAGCTACCGTCCGGCTGAATTACCCAAGTGCCTACGTTGCGTGAATACTGATTTGATGATTTCGAAAATCTAGTGTGACATCCAGATTGACCATTTTCTCCTTTAAATAATCGGATTGCGATACAAAATATGAAGAAATCCCAGGGAAAGAATATGGCTCAATTACTCAAGTGTCCACGTTGCACAAATGCCAATTTTTTGATTTCGAAAATCTAGTGTGACATCCAGATTGACGTTTTTCATAGCCTTTCATAGCCTTTTTCGAGATCTTACCGCTTTTGCCCGTCATCAAGCGCGAAACGGTAAATGAAAGAAATGATATGGTAGACGAGAAGCCATACAAGAAGCTAAATGTCGAAATACGGATTTTGAGCCGTTTTTTTCCCGACTTACCTGCGCAAAAACCGCTTTCCAAAGGCTGGCCTTCCATGAAAAAAAGAGTAAACGATAGAAACGAAGCGGATGAGAAGTTCGAATCGATGCATGGTAATTGATAGTCATTTTTGATCTCCAAAACCAAAACCTGGGCCTTAAATAGGCCTTAAATGGGTCTTAAATGGGTCTTAAATGGGCCTTAAATAGGCCTTAAACACCCCTTTTTCTGCCGATTTTTCAATATTTCATTTGTTTACTGAATTTCTCTATTTACTCACTTATAGACACCTATGTCTGAAAATTTTTTAAAGATTAAATAACTTTTGTAGATGTTTGAGATGTTTGAGAGGTTTGAGAGGTTTGGGGATCGATGCGAATGAAAAGAATTGCTGTTTTTGAAGATTCTCTATTGGGTTTGAGTTGAAAAACATGACTTTTATGATGAAAATCACTTACAAAAGCTTATCAGTCGCAAAAATCGAGAAGAAATGGAAGAAATTGAAGAAATGAGAGATCTCCGACACGAATCTGGATGTCACACTTGGTTTTGAAGTGATTGAAATCGAAAAAAAACAATGCTTTTTCCGAGCGCCTCCGAGCGGACTCGAACCAAGACCCTCGGACTTGGACCCTCGAACTGAGAGACTAGCGCACTAACCACTTGACCACTCGGACCACCTAAGCATTAAGCTAATCTATGGAATTTTTTGCCTTTCCTGACATCCAGATCCGACAATTATCTAAATAATTTTGCTTTCCTAGGCACAGCTTTGGCTAAAAAGCTCCAGTCCTGTAAATAATTTTGCTTTTCTAGGCATAGCTTTTTTTCTCTTCTAAAGACCACAAAATGCTCTCCTGACATCCAGATCTCACAATTATCTAAATAATTTTGCTTTTCTAAGCACAGCTTTGGCTAAAAAGCTCCAGTCCTGTAAATAATTTTGCTTTTCTAGGCATAGCTTTTTTTTCTCTTCTAAAGATCACAAAATGCTCTCCTGAGATCCAGATCCTCCAATTATCTAAATAATTTTGCTTTCCTAGGCACAGCTTTTTGTAAAAAGCTCCAGTCCTGTATTTTCTCCTCTAAATCCATTTATTTCCATTTATTTCCACAAAATCCATTTATTTCTCATATCAAATCGATTGAATATCTAATTTTCGGCATTTGTGGCGCTCCTTTCGTCAACTGGCCACATTTCTTTGACAATAAGTGACCGCGTTCAAATTTTTGCTCTTTTTGACAACCATTGTCTGAAAAAGTTGATAAATGGTAAGGTTTTGATAAAAGCATTTTTTAAAAAAGAGATTTCTAAGCTTCTGGTTGATAATGAACAGTTCTAATCGACCTAATGAACAGTTCTAATCGACCTAATGGACATTTCTCAAAAGAGAAAGACGAGCAATTCGCTAATGATGATAAACGATGATACATTGAGGATTGCTGAGCACAAAGGAGACCTGGAAGGTCATGGAGTTCTTGAAAGATCTTGAAAGCTCTTGAAAGATCTTGAAGAGTCTTTTAGAGTCTTGGAAAGTCTTTAAAGTCTTTAAAGTAAAGTCTTTAAAGTAAAGTCTTTAAACTCTCCAAACTCTCCAAACTCTCAAAACTCACCAATAAACGAGAGAATTAGCAAAAGCATTGTAGAATTTGTAGAATTTAGCTTTGATTCTATTTCTAGTCGATCCAAGCTTTGAATTTCTCTTGAATCTTCATTTCCTCGTCTTCTTCAAACGTCTTCCCAAGAATTTCCTCAAACTTTCGTTAATTAAATTTCTGTGAATGGGAAAAGGAAGATTTGTCTGAAGGGTCGGTTGAAAAGTTGAGTTGAAAATGAATTTGGTTGGGGCCCAGCTTGGAACTAGAGCTTCAGTTCTATTGGACAAGATTGTCCAATCGACAATCTACTCACGGACAATCTACCCACAACGCACGATCCCAAATCTCTGTCCTTTGGGACAGGTTTTCAATCGCTGCTGGAAGAGGGAGAGGGAGAGGAAGGAGAAGGAGAAGGGGAAGAGGAAGAGGAAGAGGAAGAGGAAGAGGAAGAGGAAGAGGAAGGAGAAGGAGAAGGAGAAGGGGAAGAGGAAAAGGAAGAGATCTTTTCTCCCTCATTACGGGAGATGAAAAGTGAGCAACTGTAAACTTTAAAAGGAAACGGCAATAGTTTTAGCCTGGAGTTACTGCTCCTCCTCCTCCTAGACCAGAAGGAGACTTTCCCAGAGCCCCAGAGCCCCAGAGTCCCAAAGCCCCAGAGCCCCAGAGCCCCAGTTATTGATGGAAGGGGTGATATATTGAGAACTCCTTGACAATCAGCAGAGAGTGATCAGCTCGAAAGACTGGATGTAGAGATCAAGAAGGGATTGAAAAGGGATTCCACGAAAGGTCATTCTCCTCCTCCTCCAATCATTCTTCTCCTCCTCCGATCATTCTCCTCCTCCGAAACTAAACTGACCATTCTGGATGTCACAGTAGCCTTTCGGTATAAGGGAACATCAATAAGTGTGATTTGAGAAATTTGGTTTTGACGAGTTTGAGTTCGACTGATTTTAGAGCAAATCAAGCGTTATTTCAAAATTCTAAAAGCTAGACTGACCATTCTGGATGTCACAGTAGCCTTTGAATCTAAAAAGAACGTCAACCTCCTCCACCTATCATTCTCCCCCTCCTCCAATCATTCTCCCCCTCCTCCAATCATTCTCCCCCTCCTCCAATCATTCTCCCCCTCCTCCAATCATTCTCCCCCTCCTCCAATCATTCTCCTCCTCCTCCAATCATTCTCCATCTCACAGCAAACCCACAATCAACTTTGCCTGACACTTAAAAGCTTGGAATTAAAAGAAACTGAAGAATTGGATAGTATTAGAACTTAAGAAAAAACAATTTTCGTTTATTTACCCAATTTTAGATTTTAGCCGAAGAAACTGTTGAAAGGTGACTTGTTAAAAGGTGGACAACTCTTTTCCCTACCGTAATCCTTCTTTTTTTCTGAAGACACAATAGGAAAAGATTCAAATGGTTGTTTTCCAAAACAATATAAAGAAAAATTACTCTTTTCTTTTCTGGAAAAACCTAAATGGACGATCGATACAATGATTTAGATGATCTACCGGATGGAAATGAGGTTGGAGGACTTCCGTTTACAAATTAGAATCCGGCTTATGATAGAAATCAATCTTTAAATGCTCAATCATTCAGGAAAATCAAGAGGAAGCACTTTTGCAACAGAATCGACGAGTTCAAGACGAATTATCGAGGAATCTCATTGGGTTTTGGTGAGTTGGATGTCACAGTAGCTTTTCGGTGTAAGAGAACGTCAATAAGTGTGATTTGAGAAGTTTTTTTTTTGAAGGGTTTGAGTTCGGCTTATTTTAGAGAAAATCAAGCGTTGCTTCAAAATTCTAAAGACTGAACTGATCATTCTGGATGTCACAGTAGCTTTTCGGTATATAAGAACGTCAATAGATGTAATTTGAGAAATTTGGTTTCGACCGGTTTGAGTTCGACTGATTTTAGAGCAAATCAAGCGTTATCTCGAAATTCTAAAAACTAGGTTGACCATTCTGGATGTCACAGTAGCCTTTCGGTGTAAGAGAACGTCAATAGGTGTAATTTGAGAAATTTTTTTTGACGGGTTTGAGTTCGGCTTATTTTAGAGCAAATCAAGCGTTATTTCAAAATTCTAAAGACTGAAATGATCGTTCTGGATGTCACAGTAGCCTTTCGGCATAGAAGAACGTCAATAGGTGTAATCCGAAAAATTTTTTTTGACGGGTTTGAGTTCGACTTATTTTAGAGCAAATCAAGCGTTATTTCAAAATTCTAAAGACTGAAATGATCGTTCTGGATGTCACAGTAGCCTTTCGGTATATAAGAACGTCAATAGATGTAATTTGAGAAATTTTTTTTTGACGGGTTTGAGTTCGACTGATTTTAGAGCAAATCAAGCGTTATCTCGAAATTCTAAAGACTGAAATGATCGTTCTGGATGTCACAGTAGCCTTTGTTATCACTGTATCAATTCCTAGGCTACTTGGTCTATGCAACAATTTCGCCTACGTGATCATGCTCTCCGCGGCACAAGACATTTTGGAAAGTGGACATCAAAATAAGACCTCGGACACGTGTGAGGTTTGTTTCCTGAAAAAAGTGAGCAAATCTGAAACCAGGAAGAGATTGTGGCAAGGAAATGCGCGGAGATGTCCACCGGATCAGTTCTTTTAGCCGATATCATTCCGGCGCTTCTCATCAAGATTTTCGCTCCGCTTTTTATTCAACGAGTGCCATTTGGGTGAGTCTTATTGTAGCTAAATTTCAGCTAAGGCTTAGATAAGTTTGACAGTATTCTAGAGAGTCTAGGTCCAGGCCAGAATCCAGGTCAGAAACCGGATAGAAGCCAGGTCCAGAAGCCAGAAACCGGCCCGAAGCTAGGTCCAGGCCAGAACCCGGATAGAAGCCAGGTCCAGCCTAGTACCCAGCTGGAAGCTAGATCCAGCCCAGAAGCCGGCCAGAAGCCAGGGCTAGCCTAGTACCCGGCCAGAAGCCAGGTCCAGAACCGGGCTAGAAGCCAGGTCCAGAACTCGGCCAGAAGCCAGGTCCAGAAGCCAGACAGAAAGCCAGGTCCAGAACCCGGCTAGAAGCCAGGTCCAGAAGCCGGCCGCCAGAAGCCAGGGCTAGCCTAGTACCCGGCTAGAAGCCAGGTCCAGAACTCGGCCAGAAGCCAGGTCCAGAATCCGTCGAGAAGCTAGATCCAGGTCAGAACCCGGATAGAAGCTAGATACAGACCAGAACCCGGCTTGAAGCCAGGTCCAGAACTCGGTCAGAAGCCAGGTCTAGTCTAGTACCCGCCTGGAAGCTAGATCCAGGTCAGAAACCGGATAGAAGCCAGGTCCAGAAGCTGGCCAGAAGCTAGATTCAGGCCAGAAGAAGCTAGGTTCAGGCCAGAAACCGGTCAGAAGCCAGGTCCAGGTCAGAACCCGGCTAGAAGCCAGATCCAGAACCCGACCAAAGCCTAGAACCCGGCTAGAAGCCAAGTCCAGGCCCAGTCAGCTAAGCCTGGCTTCTGGTGCCAAGCCCAGTCAGCCAAGCCCCAATCTAAAACAAGAAAATCTCCCCAAAACCCAAAAACAATAGAAATTCGAATTTTCAGCCTCCGTCATTTCCTCGTCGTCATCTTCCAATCATTCTCATTTCTCCTAGTCGCTTTAGGCGGAAATGTATTCACCGCGCTTTTCGGCGTCGTTTTAGCGAGTTTCGCATCGGGTTTAGGAGAGATCTCCTATTTGGCGCTCGCGTCGAATTTCAAGAAGTGAGTTCGCGGTTATGAGACTTATAAGTGAGAAAAGGTGGACAGATCTACCGTATTTTTAGTTTCTGTTATAGCTATAGCACTGCAGAAGTTACAGTATTCCATTTACATTATTCTACTTAAGTTTTCTAGTAGGTGGAGTAAGGTAAAGGATTTGTAAAGGATTTGTAAAGGACTCCTGCAGCTAGAGCAACATAGAAAAAGCCTATCGTAGTTTTCTCAATATGTAAATGACTCAAAAGCTACAGTATCCCAACTGCAACATATCTGCTGATGGTACTGTAAAGTGGATAGAATAATATATCAAAATTTCAGCAGCGTCATCTCGGCCTGGTCCTCGGGTACCGGTGGAGCCGGGATCTTTGGTGCACTCACCTATGCGATTTTGACAGGTAATTGAGACGGACGGATGGATGGACTGACAGACAGACAGACAGACAGACAGATAGCCAGATAGCCAGATAGCCAGAGAGACAGATAGCTAGATAGCCAGATAGCCAAATAGCTAGATAGCTAGATAGACAGACAGACAGATAGCCAGATAGCTAGATAGCCAGATAGACAGATAGCCAGATAGCTCGATAGCTAGATAGCCAGACAGTCAGCCCAATTATATTTCGTAGATCTATTTTAAAGATCTAAAACTTCAATTTCAGATCCCTTCATGCTATCTCTTTCTCCGAAAAACGCGCTTTTATCAATGCTGGTCGTGCCGGTGATTTTCGCGTATAGGTGAGTGTAGAAAAGGAGTACTGTACCTTTAGTGTCAAAGTTAAACGCACAGTACTTCTAAGTTATTCAGTTAAACCGAGTAACCCAAGCTATTCAGTTGTTGATCTTTATAGTATTTCTAAAGTACGTAAAAATACAGTCCAAGCTTCCTCTTCCTCCCTAAGCTGCTCCCAAGCTTCCTCTTCCTCTCCAACCTGCTCCCAAGCTTCTTCTTCCTCCCCAACCTGTTCCCAAGCTTCTTCTTCCTCCCCAACCTGTTCCCAAGCTTCTTCTTCCTCCCCAACCTGTTCCCAAGCTTCTTCTTCCTCCCCAACCTGCTCCTAAGCTTCCTCTTCCTCTCCAGGTCCAAGCTCTTCAAATCATTGATGGGGTACAAAAGAACGACGTGAAAAAGGGAACGGTTTAGGGAATTTTAGAATTTTCCTGAAACAAAATGAAAGCCTTTAACCCCGAGGGGTATGCCAGACGGAGAGCGATTACGCGGGCGCTCAAAGAGCACTTTGCCGGTCGTTTTCTGATACCAATGTGTCCTGTAATTGAACAAAACCATAATTTTTCTGTAATTCACGCAATTATTTAGTTATTGGTACATTTTGCGAATTCCGCAAAGCGTTCATCGAGTCCGAGTGTTTGACTATCGAACCTACACGATTGGATATCAAATTGGTGAGGAGAGATTGGACTCTTAGCGAAACTAGAGCTAGAAAACAAGCTCTGACTCATTTTGAGTACTTGAGTTAATCGTTTTTCAATAAACCTATCAATTTCCAGGCTCTAGACATCGCTCAGGGCAATCCGAGTCCGACACTGACACTCAATCAAGCCCACTTCTGCAGGGAATTGGTTAGTTCGAGCAATGGATCAATAGATCAATAGATCAGAAGATCAATAGATTAAAATCAATAGCCAAAATCGAGAGTAGTGAATAGATAATATTAGAAATAGCAAAAAGGTTTTCTATTTTCAGAATATCGTGATCACGAGCCGTTCAACTTTGGCCAGCTCTCTAACAAGGAGAAATTAAACGCGATAAAGGTTGGAAGGGAAGGATTTGAGCGAGAGCTTAGTGACAGCAGCTTTGTAGTGACAGCATCTTTGTAGTGACAGCATCTTTGTAGCGAGAGCTGAGTTGGATGTCACAGTAGCCTTTCGGTATAAAGGAACATCAATAAGTGTGATTTGAGAAATTTAGTTTTGACGGGTTTGAGTTCGGCTTATTTTAGAGCAAATCAAGCGTTATTTCAAAATTCTAAAAGCTAGACTGACCATTCTGGATGTCACAGTAGCCTTTCGGTATAAGGGAACATCAATAAGTGTGATTTGAGAAATTTGGTTTTGACGGCTTTGAGTTCGACTCATTTTAGAGCAAATCAAGCGTTATTTCAAAATTCTAAAAGCTAGACTGACAATTCTGGATGTCACAGTAGCCTTTGAATCTAAAAGAACGTCAATAAGTGTGATTTGAGAAATTTGGTTTTGACGGGTTTGAGTTCGGCTTATTTTAGAGCAAATCAAGCGTTATCTCGAAATTCTAAAGACTGAAATGACCATTCTGGATGTCACAGTAGTGTCTAGGGAGAACTGAGCCTTGTAGAGAGAGCTCAGTAGTGTAGCTTTAGAGCGTTAGAGCCATTTAGAGCCGTTAGAGCCAGCGTTAGAGCCATTAATCCTTGTAAACATCCAGAAGATCGTACTTCCAGATCACGAAAGTAGATTGCGGAGTATCAAAAGTATCAAAATAAAGTAAAGTATGGAAATTACAGATCTAGATCTGGATCTGGATATAGAACTAGATCTAGAACTGATCTGGATCTAGATCTAGAACTGATCTAGATCTAGATCTAGATATAGAACTGATCTAAATCTAGATCTATTTAAAACAATTCAAATTCTAGCCTCTCTTGCCCTTCATGCTCCCGTTGATGTTGGTTTACTTAGGCGAGTACTATATCAATCAGGGAATGGTGAGTGAAGTGCTTCGAAACACAGCTTATCTGGTGCACTGAAGTCTGTAGATGATTCTAAAGAGAGTCTGTAGATGATTCTAGTCTGTAGATGATTCTAGTCTGTAGATGATTCACCAGGAAAGATGCGTTTACGCACGAGCACAAGTACTGTAGCGAGTACAGGGGCACTGTAGTACAGGGATACTGTAGTACAGGGGCACTGTAGTACAGGGATACTGTAGTACAGGGATACTGTAGTACAGGGATACTGTAGTACAGGGGTACTGTAGTACAGGGGCACTGCAATGAAATCTAGCATTGTTTCAGTTTGAACTGATCGTTTTCGATTGTAAGCACGGCTTTGGCTTCAGCCCGGCGAGCCAATATCGATGGTATCAAGTGGGTGAAACTATTCTTTCTAAATCCTTCTAAATCCACTTCTATTTCTCAGGTTCTTTACCAATTCGGGGTCTTTGTTTCCCGGTCTTCTTCCGGAGTGATTCTATTGCCAGCAAACGTTTTGCCTCTCTTGGCTATACTTCAGGTAAACAAAGATCTAATAGTAGAGCTAATAGTAGAGAGCTAATAGTCAGACAGACAGCTAATAGTCAGACAGACAGCTAATAGTCTAATAGTCTAATAGTCTAATAGTCTCATAGTCTATTAGTCTATTATTCTAATAGTCTATTAGTTCCTAATCATCTAATAGTCATCTAATGCTAGAAAAACAAAGACGACGAATAAATATAGAGTAACCCATTGCGATTAGATGCTTTTTCTGATCTTTTCGGCAATTCTGGAACGCACAGTGCAAAAATTAAGAGAAATGGTAGAGGCTTGTGAGAAAATAGTCAATTGGTAATACTATGCACAAGTTTCGAAGGGATTACTGTACTTTTCGACAATAGTTGACATGTTTTAACTATTTAATCTTGTGATCTGGAACGCACGACGGTTAAAAATCAGCAAAATGATTAGATTTGAAGGAAATTGGTGAGTCGTGATATTGTGACCGAGTTGTAAAGGGATTACTGTACTTTTTGTCAATAGTTGGCAGATTTTAACTATTTAATCTTGTGATCTGGAACGCACGACGCTTAGTCCAGTAGTATAGACCCCTAAGCTACTATTCAATAGTTTTTTTGTTTGCAGAAGTACTACTTCCCTGTTTCCTTTTGACGTAGCCCGATCCCCTTTATCAGCTAATTAGTTGAGCAGCTAACTAGGAAGCTAACTAGGAAGCTAACTAGGAAGCTAACTAGGAAGCTAACTAGGAAGCTAACTAGGAAGCTAACTAGGAAGCTAACTAAGGAGCTAACTAGCCAGCTAAGGAGCTAACTAGGCAGCTAACTAGGAAGCTAACTAAGGAGCTAACTAGCCAGCTAAGGAGCTAACTAGGCAGCTAAGCAGCTAACTAGGCAGCTAACTAGGAAGCTAACTAAGCAGCTAACTAAGGAGCTAACTAGGAAGCTAACTAGGAAGCTAACTAAGGAGCTAACTAGCCAGCTAAGGAGCTAACTAGCCAGCTAAGGAGCTAACTAGGCAGCTAAGCAGCTAACTAGGCAGCTAACTAGGAAGCTAACTAAGCAGCTAACTAAGGAGCTAACTAGGAAGCTAACTAGGAAGCTAACTAGGAAGCTAACTAAGCTAAGCAGCTAACTTGATCCCCACATTGAACTTTATCAGCTAATCATTTCTGCATCTTGTTTTCTCAGCTTTAAGCAAGAAAAAGACAAAGACAAATTGTGCAAATGATAGCTGAAATGGCAAAGAAAAAGTGTGGGGAGGGAAAGAACCGGAAATGGTTGAGAGGAAGGGAGAATGACGTCATTCACACAAACACTCAGATCAAACACTCATATCACACGTTCCATTTAAGAGAGTGACAATTTGGGGAATGCAATGCGGACAGAGATCTGAAAAAGCTCACAGAGATCACACCGGAAAGCGAAACATTCTTCTTGTTTTTGTTGAAACGCTTTGTTGAAACAGTTGAGAGTTTTTGAGAGAAGGCTAGCGCTTTAGCGCGCTAGAGAGGCTGCGTTTGGAGCTTTTCTTTCAGCACAAAGTACAGGGTGATCGAAAAGCTCCCCGGGAAAATCGGAAAGATGATCAAAGGTTTCCGGAATCGAAAGGGAATGGAGAAAGATCAACAGGAAGAGAATTATATTATCTTAATTGTTTCTAGAAGCTTTATTTAACTTCTGACTGTTTATAGACACTTTTAATAACTTAAAAAACAAGGCTTTAACCTATAAGCAACCAAAAAAGCTATAACTAAAAAGGAAAAACGTTTTGACAGTGACGGGAATCGAACCCGCGTTCACCAGACCCACAGCTCAGTGCACTATCCACTACGCCATCTGGTCACTAAGCAGCGAGGAACTATTTGGCCTCATATCCCGGCGGAGTCGTTTTTCTTCCGAACTTGAAAAGCATTTTTCTTGAAAATTGGATTAAAACTGAAAAAGAAGGGTCGCTGACTAATGGCCGCGTGGTCTAGTGGTTAGTGGGCTAGGCTACGGAGTAGACTGTCGAGGGTTCGGGTCCGCGTACTTTTTCTTTTTCTTTGCTTTCCTAAACACTTTATATGGTGGCTCTCCTAGCTATACACGTATCCCATTGCAAACTGAAGCGCGCCTGATGAGCGCCTAATGGACCAAACCAGCTATGTCTTACTCTAGGACTAGCCTCGGAGTTGGTCTTTGAGCTGTTCTTGGAACTGGCCCTCGAGCTGAGCTTGGAGCTGGTCTTAAAGCTGAGCTTGGAGCTGGTCTTAAAGCTGAGCTTGGGGCTGGCCTTGGAGCTGAGCTTGGAGCTGGCCTTGGAGCTGATTTGACTTGCCAATTCATTACTCAAATAGGTCAAATACTCACAAGCGAGCCATCAATTGTAATGGCTGTAGCTATTGAGCTCTTCTGTCGCTGATTTTGAGGTTTAGTATTGGACCTGGAAGCTGGACTAGGTCAAGTTCCAGAGTCAGGCACAGTTAACGACCCAACTTTTTGCTGATCAGTTTGAGAGTCCTAAAGCCTACTTTTTGAAGCAGACTTGGCGAGAGCCAGCCTTTGACAGCCTTGGTCCGCCTTGATCAGCCTTAACCAGCCTTTGACAGCCTTGGTTAGCCTTTGACCGCTTTGACCGCTTTGACCAGCGTTTGGCAGCCTTTGCCAGCCTTGGTTAGCCTTGGTCAGCCTTAGCCAGCCTTAGCCAGCCTTAGCCAGCCTTAGCCAGCCTTGCTTAGCCTTGGTCAGCTTTGGCCAGCCTTTGCCAGCCTTTGACAACCTTCCCCAGCCTTGTCCAGCCCTTCCCAGCCTCTAAACCTCAGCCAGACTGGTCCAAACTGCTCATAGATCAGCTCTCACCGACCCAGATCCCCTTTATCTGTTTCTTGTTCAAATTTGGACACTCTATAACCAAAAATCTAGTTATCTACAAAAATCTCCCAAAGTTCTCTGCTAGAAAAATCCATTTCCTGTTTGGGGATTTCTTCAAAAAAGAGATCAAAAGGATTTTTCTTCAAAAAGGAAAGGAAAAAGGATTCGTTCCTTTTAAAGGATTCCTTTTGAAGGATTCTTTTTGAAGGATTCCTTTTGAAAGAAAAAGGATTCCTTAAATCCTCAGCAAAGTGTTTGTGTTATGAGAGATGATTGATTAAAAAAGGAAAAACTTATCTTTTATCCCCAATTCCCTATCAAAACACGTAAAGAATGTTGATTTTTGACAATTTTTGACAATTTTTCACGGAAATGTGATCACTTTTTTTATTTTTTTCTTTTTTTTCATAAAAAGAGAAATTTGTTGACACTTTGGTACATGTTTTTTAACATTTTAAAAGTAATAGAAACGATTTTCTATTGTTGCAGTTGCAGAAATTGCAGAAATTTACTTTATACTGTGCAAAAGAATCGAAAAATACCCAATCTGACCACTTGAAATCTGCCAGAAAGAGAGCGTTTAGAGATTTCGTTGTAAACTGAGCTTTTCTGAGCTTTTTTTGAGATTTTTGGCAATCCTGGAACGCACGGTGCAATTGAGAGAAACGGTAGAGAGTTGTGAGAAAAATGGACAATTGGCAATACTATGAATGAGGTTCGAAGGGATTACTGTACTTTTCGACAATAGTTAGCAGATTTTAATTAGTAAATCTTGTGATCTGGAAGGCACGACGGCTAAAAATCAGTAAAAGCATTAGATTTGAAGGAAATAGATGAATGGTGATACGGTAAATCAGGTTCGACAGGATTACTGTACTTTTCGACAATAGTTGACACATTTTAGCTATTTAATCTTGTGATCTGGAACGCACGACGGTTAGCTAGCAGTAAAAAGACTAGATTTAGAGGAAATAGATGAATGGTGATACGGTAAATCAGGTTCGACAGGATTACTGTACTTTTCGACAATAGTTGACACATTTTAGCTATTTAATCTTGTGATCTGGAACGCACGACGGTTAGCTAGCAGTAAAAAGACTAGATTTAGAGGAAATAGATGAATGGTGATACGGTAAATCAGGTTCGACAGGATTACTGTACTTTTCGACAATAGTTTATATATTCTAACTATTTAATCTTGCTATCTGGAACTCACAATGGTTAGTTATCAATAAAATGATTCGATTTAGAGGAAATAGATGAATGGTGATACTATGAATGAGGTTCGAAGGGATTACTGTACTTTTCGACAATAGTTGACAGATTTTAACGATTGGATTCTCTTATCTGGCACACAGCACGGCTAGATATTAAAAATTAGGATGATTGATAGAAGTCTAGAATTTCTCTCACAATCCCTTCACAACTCATTTGAAGCCATTCACTAATTTCTTCCAAAACGAATCATTTTACTGATTTTTAACCATCGTGCCTCCCAGATCACAAGATTAAATAGTTAAAATCTGCCAACTATTGTCGAAAAGTACAGTAATCCCTTCGAGACTCATTTACCGTATTACCAGTCACCAATTTCCTCCAAATCTAGTCATTTTACTGATAACTAAACGCCGTGCCTTCCAGGTCACCAGAATAAATAGTTAAAATATGTCAACTATTGTCGAAAAGTACTGTAATCCCTTCGAGACTCATGCATAGTATCACCATTCATCTATTTCCTCTAAATCTAATCATTTTACTGCTAGCTAACCGTCGTGCGTTCCAGATCACAAGATTAAATAGTTAAAATATGTCAACTATTGTCGAAAAGTACTGTAATCCCTTCGAGACTCATTCACCGTATTGTACTTCATTCAAAATCCTACCCAAATCGCCCATTTTCAGCTATTGAACGCTTTTCTGTTCATGTTTGATGCTTGGCTACACTTTTCTCCTCACATTCTCTTCGTTTTCTTCATTATTTTCTATGAAGGACTTCTCGGCGGTGGAGCTTACGTGAACACGTTTCGAGGCGTGCATAAAGTGGTGAGTTGAAGGGCGGTTTTTGGTATTCTTTAGCATCATTACTGCAGTAGTGCTACAGTAGCAGGCTACAGTAATAGCAGAGCCTGAGCCTAAGCCTGAACCTGAGCCTAAGCTAAGCCTGAGCCTAAACTTCTAAATACGACAGCGATCTGAAAATTTGCAAGGATACTCCCCAAAATTTTGAAGCCATTGCTCATTCTGGATGTCACAGCGTACATTGGAGTCCAATTTACGCAGCTTGACTGATTTCTTAGTGCTCCAATGCTGATTTTCCGCACAAGGGTAATCGCTTGCATCTCAGATCTGAGAACTGGCTGAGGTCCAGAATATGGGAGTGAAACCCAGGCTCAAATAGACTTAGTGCGAAGCGCTAACCGCTAGCCTTCCCACTAAGCCTGAGCCTAAGCCTAAGCTTAAGCCTAAGCCTGAGCCTAAGCCTGAGCCTAAGCCTGAGCCTAAGCCTGAGCCTAAGCCTGAGCCCAAGCCTAAGCCTGAGCCCAAAATCTAGCCTACAAACCTGGCACCTAGGACTATATAGTGGTTAGTACTTCTAGTATAGTACTCCTTGTACTCTTGCACTACTCATGTAAGCAGTACTGTGTTGTACAAGCTACAAGTAAGTACAAGTACAAGTACCAGTACAAGTACAAGTACAAGTACAAGTACAAGTACCAGTACAAGTACCAGTACAAGTACCAGTACAAGTACCAGTACAAGTACCAGTACAAGTACCAGTACAAGTACCAGTACAAGTACCAGTACAAGTACAAGTACAAGTACAAGTACAAGTACCAGTACAAGTACCAGTACAAGTACAAGTACCAGTACAAGTACAAGTACCAGTACAAGTACCAGTACAAGTACCAGTACAAGTACCAGTACCAGTACCAGTACAAGTACAAGTACAAGTACCAGTACAAGTACAAGTACCAGTACAAGTACCAGTACAAGTACCAGTACAAGTACAAGTACCAGTACAAGTACCAGTACAAGTACCAGTACAAGTACCAGTACCAGTTAAAGTACTGTAGCTCTGAATTTACAGTAATAAAAAGGCTTTAAACTTAAGCTAGAAAGGTGAGTAAACTTTATATTTTCAATTTTCCAAATCGAAATCCTTTTTTTTCAAAAAAAACCTTTACTTTTCTATTCTAAATTTCTATTCTTTTCAATTTTCTTTTCAATTTTCTTTTCAATTTTCTTTTCTATTCTAATCTCTAAACTTTTAACTCTCGAATTGATGAATAATTCTTGTTATTTTCATCTCCGACCTAATTGGTCACATGAAAAGTCTCATTTAGACTCATTTAGACTCATTTCTAACCAATTATTCTCGAGAAATTTGTCGGCATGTGACTTTTCTTTTCAGCCACTGAATCATTTGGCTATTTTGGCTTTTTTTTGCAACGATCAAAGTGTTCAATCAAGTATAGAATAGAGTTAGAAACAAAAGAAAAGAAAAGAACAAAAAGACAAGGATAGCTGAAGAAAAGGATAGTTAGAGACAAGGATGGTTAGAGTCAAAGATAGTGCAAGGATAGAGACAAGATTATGCTAGTTTTCTTGCAAAGCAAAGCGGCACGTTGTCCTATACAGAACTTTGCTTAAATATAGCTTTGCTATAACTTTTGAGTCCTCTATAGCAGAAACTGGAAGCAGATTCGGAAGGTCTCCTAGCAGACCTTAAGTTCAGCGTGTAATTCTGTGTTAAGCTGTTAACATGGTCAACAAATTCGGTTGAAATTCCCTAGTAAGTAAGTAAGTTAGCTAGTTAGTTAGTTAGTAAGTTAGCTAGTTAGTTAGTTAGCTAGTTAGTTAGTTAGTAAGTTAGCTAGTTAGTTAGTAAGTAAGTTAGTTAGTAAGTAAGTTAGCTAGTTAGTAAGTTAGCTAGTTAGTTAGTAAGTAATTCCCCTAGTATTTTACTCGAATACCAAATCTTGCAACAAGAATTTCTACGTATTCAAGAATTTGTTAGGTCTATTTTCTTGGAAATCTCTTTTTCTTTTCTTTCTTTCCTTTCTTTCCTTTTCTTTTCCTGTTCTATTTGTGATTGTTCTCTTTTCCATTGTCCAAAAGGGAAAGAAAAGAACAGTGACTCTGAATGGAATGTTTAGAAAAAAAAGAAAGAAGCGAGAATGAGTCAAACCGAAGTGCTCAGCAAATTGGAAAATCAGCAGTAGAGTACTAATAAAATCAGTGAAGCTGCGTAAATTGGACTCTAACCTACGCTGTGACATCCAGATTGAGCAATACCGTTAAAATTTTGACACTTTTTACAAGAGAGTACAAAGAACACCTCTGGACAGCCAAGGACTACCTGGTCTAGTACTAAAAACTAAGTCAAGGTACCGTAAATTGGACTTCAACGTACGCTGTGACATCCAGATTGAGCAATACCGTTAAAATTTTGACGCTTTTTACAAGAGAGTACAAAGAACACCTCTGGACAGCCAAGGACTACCTGGTCTAGTACTAAAAACTAAGTCAAGGTACGTAAATTGGACTTCAACGTACGCTGTGACATCCAGATTGAGCAATGTTTTTAAAATCTTGTACTCTTTACTTGTAAACAGTCATTTTTCTCAACCTTCCCCAAAAACTGCCTTTGAGCATCATTTTTTTAATTTTTTCTCAGATCTGATCAAAATTCGGATACTTTTAAAGATTGCTGATCGCCTTTTTTTGCTTTTAAAGATGACTGATCACATTTTTTTGCTAAAAATATCATTTCACTGTTCAATTTTCGCTGCACTTTCCTATTTTTGTCTTAAGAAATCGGGAAATCACAAAAATAAACTGTGAGAAATGGAAAATATGGGAATTTTCGAGTTTTGATATGGATTTTCGACTAGACACAAAAACAAATATTGCGTTTTTGATTGATGGGGTTTTGTTTAGTAAATAGTCTAAAGTCTGGGGGTATTTTGACAAGAAAACAATCGAATGATGTCACTTTTTGAGGGCTCATTTGAAATTTGATCACTTTGCATCAATTTTCCTCTTATCATTGTGTTCTTGCACTTTAAAAGGTGCACTTTGTGCTCCCTGGTAAACGCTAACCTTCTGGCACACCGATAAAGCCAAAAAGTTAGCCAGATTCCGTTTTTGTTTAACGTTTTTCATTCAAAGGACCTCTCCGCCTGAGCGTACTTTGTAAACGCGCGCCTTTTGGCACACTGATGCTGTGTACTTTGCGCGCTCATGTAAACGTTTGTCATCTGGCACACTGGATGCTGTGTACTTTGCGCGCTCATGTAAACGTTCGTCATCTAGCACACTGGGTGTTGAACGTGTACTTTGTGCGCTCACGTAACCACGTGCCATCTAGCACACTGGATGCTGTGTACTTTGCGCGCTCATGTAAACGTTCGTCATCTAGCACACTGGGTGTTGAACGTGTACTTTGTGCGCTCACGTAACCACGTGCCATCTGGCACACTGGTGATCACTGTGCGCGTACTTTGTGCGTTCTCGTAAACGCGCGCCCTCTGGTACACGGCTCGTCACTGCCCCATTTAATTACGCTTGCCTAAATTGCGTAAATGTCGATTTTATGATTTCGAAAATCTAGTGTGACATCCAGATTGCCCATTTTGACCTTTAAAAACCAGATTGTCGTTCAAAGTAAACAAGAAGTACGGGGAATCCCTCTGTAACCTATTTACCAAAGTGCCTATGTTGCGTAAATGTTGATTTTATGATTTCGAAAAGATAGTGTGACATCCAGATTAGTCATTTTAGCCTTTAAAAACCAGATTGTCTTATAAAGCGTATCAGGGAATACCCAGCTACCATCCGGCTGAATTACCCAAGTGCCTACGTTGCGTGAATGTTGATTTTATGATTTCGAAAAGATAGTGTGACATCCAGATCAGCCATTTTAGCCTTTAAAAACCAGATTGTGGTACAAAATATATAAGAAATACGGGGGACCCCTCTGTACACTAATTTTCAAATTGCCTACATTGCATCAATGTCGATTTTATAACTTAGAAAATCTAGTGTGACATCCAGATTGCCCATTTTGGCCGTCAGATTCTCCGTTAGAATTTGAATTCATCAAATTTTTACAACTTTCTTCTATAAAATTTCCCCAATCAACGGAACCCTCTAAAAAGAAATGAAAGCCAAAAAAGCCAAAAAAAACCCATTCAATGACGTGTTTGTTCTTTTATGGAACGCAAAAGGAAGAGGAAAAAGGATATTTTCTCATAGATCTTTCAAATTTTGATCTTTCATTAAAAATAATGACAAATTCTCATTTTTGAACTTTAATTTTGAATGAAATCAAATTTTAGCGATTTGTTTTTGATTCTATGACGTAATGGAGCTTTAGAAAGAACAAGCGATCAATCATTTTCAAAAAGAAAGCTTGATTGATCAGTTTTCTAATAAAAATCACATCATTTTCACGATTTTTCACGATTTTTCTTTTTGATCTTTCAACTTTTCTCTTTTTTACCGAAACGCGTTTGTTTCTTGGTCTAGAGATATCATTTTTGTGGTTACTGTAGCTTTATTTTATAGTTTTCTAGATCTTTTTGATTACTGTAGCTTTATCTAAGAGTTTTTTAGACTTTAGTATCGTTTTTAGGCTTCCCTAAAAGTTTTCAAAAAGTGGTTCACTTTAAACACTCATAACTTTGCTTACAGATTATATTATTGTCAACTTTTGATACCGTCTGAAAGAGGAGATTCCAGGCTTTCGAATGATACCAAAAAGAGCTTAATTCAATCAACCAAAGCTGAGAAAATAGCAAGCGAAACTTGATGCTCTGGAAGTGACTGCGTAACTGAACCGGTGCTGTTTTCTCAGCTTTGGTTGATTCAATTAAGCTCTTTTTGGTATCATTCGAGAGCCTGGAATCTCCTCTTTCAAACGGTATCAAAAGTTGACAATAATATAATCTGTAAGCAAAGTTATGAGTGTTTAAAGTGAACCACTTTTTCAGCTTTGGCTTCAGCTTTTTGATCAGCTTTGGCTAATCAAAAAAAGCTCTTTTTGGTGTCATTCGAAAGCTAAAAACCTCCTCTATCTATCTATAACAATAATTAAAATCTAAATCGATTCCAGGTGCCGCTCGAGCGACGAGAATTTGCGATGGGTTTCGTCTCGATCTCGGACACGGTGGGGATCGTTTTTGCCGGAATTCTCGCCATTCCAGCGCATAATTTTATCTGTAAATTAGCCTGGTGATAAAAAGAACTTTATTTAGAACTAATCTATCTCTAGAATTTGTTCTTAGCTTTCTTTTTCTTCTCAAAATTTTTTCCCAAAGATTGTGATAAAAAATTCGAAAAAATTCCTCTTTTTTCGCTTCGGGTTGGTTTTTTTCAAAGTTTTTCTGATAATTCGTATATAAAAAAATTTATATAAAGATTTCTACAGCATCTTTACATATTTCTAATGCTTTTATCAACCCTGGGAACCCAAAAATCACATAGAATTTGAAAAAATTCGAAAAGTCGTAAAATTTTGCAGTTGACAGCTACGTTTTCTGATGGGAAAATGACAAATTTACGGGCTACCTGCCTACGTTGCGTAAATGTTGATTTTTTGATTTCGAAAATCTAGTGTGACATCCAGATTGGCCATTTTCGCCTTTAAATAATCGGATTTTCGTGCAAAGTATGTAAGAAATACGAGGAACCCCTCTGTACACTATTTACCTAAGTGCCTACGTTGCGTAAATGCCGATTTTATGATTTCGAAAATCTAGTGTGGCATCCAGATTGGCTATTTTAGCCTTTAAATAATCGGATTTTCGTATAAAGTCTATCAGAGAATACCCAGTTACCGTCCGGCGTAATTACCCAAGTGCCTACGTTGCATCAATGCCAATTTTATGATTCCGAAAATCTAGTGTGACATCCAGATTGTCCATTTTCTCCTTTAAACAATCAGCTTTCCGTATAAAGTCTATCAGGGAATACCCAGCTACCGTCCGGCGTAATTACCCAAGTGCCTACGTTGCATCAATGCCAATTTTATGATTCCGAAAATCTAGTGTGACATCCAGATTGGCCATTTTTGCCTTTAAAACCCAGATTTCGTTTTTATCTACCCTGGGAACCCTAGAATCACACAGAATTTGAAAAAATTCGAAAAATCGTAAAATTTTCAGTTGACAGCTACGTTTTCTGACGGGAAAATGACAAAATTTCGGGTTTTTGAAAAAAAATTTTGGCAAATTTTCGACAGATAACGAGTGATTTAGCTGTCAAATCCTGAATCACATGGCTAATTCGCACGAGAATTTTGTGTAATCTTGCAAAAGCCCACACTCCAGTCGACAAGAATCGCGAAAAAAATGGTCTGATGCAGAAAATTTCGAAATTTTCCCGATATCCGGCTGTTTTCATGAGATTTTTCATGGAAAATTGGAAAGAAAAAACGAAATTTTGCATTTTGCTTAAAGAAAAGTTTGTGAAAACATCTCAATTTGATGAATTGTTGGATCAATTCTTGTCGGACCGATTTTGTGCTTTTCTTTGACTTGAATCCTCAAAATTCTCAATGTTTTGCGTGTTCTGGATGTCACAGCACACGTTGAATATCAATTTACAGTACCCTAGCCCCATTTACAGTATCCCGTTTTTGGAGGCGGTGAAGCCCTGGTGTACTTTGTGCGCTCTCATAAAGGCGCACCCATGCGTGTACTTTGTGCTCACCGATAAACACCCCCTTCTAGCAGGCCTCTCAGTGCGCCAGAAAGGAAGCGTTTACCGGTGAGCACAAAGTGCACGCATGGGCACCATTTTTGAGCTCATGGCGCCAGAAAGGGAGCGTTTACCGGTGAGCACAAAGTACACGCATGCACACCATGTTGAGCTCATGGCGCCAGAAAGGGAGCGTTTACCGGTGAGCACAAAGTACATGTATAGGCACCATTTTAATGTCATTGCGCCAGAAAGGGAACGTTTACCGGTGAGCACAAAGTACACGCATGGGCACCATTTTTGAGCTCATGGCGCCAGAAAGGGAGCGTTTACCTGTGAGCACAAAGTACACGCATGCACACCATGTTGAGCTCATGGCGCCAGAAAGGGAGCGTTTACCGGTGAGCACAAAGTACACGCATGGGCACCATTTTTGAGCTCATGGCGCCAGAAAGGGAGCGTTTACCGGTGAGCACAAAGTCCACCACATTTTATTATAATCATAGCGAAATTTCTTGAGAAACGCACGTTTTCTGGCACACTTCCGTTTGCGTGCAATTTCAAAGATTTTCCCCTTAACTATCCGGAAGTGTTTTTTTCAAAAATGAGAAAACAATTGATAGAAAAATATCTCTTTTATGTTTTTTTTGGTTTTTGGCATAAATTTTGATTGAAAAGAGGATTTGTCGTGGAATTTTTTCCATTTAAAATGCAAAACAACAGCAAAAATATTTGGCTTTTCAGCGAAAAGAACGATTTTTTTTTTAAACTGTGAATGAATGTTTTTCTGATGAAAAGTGAAGATTTTTCTCCAAAGAACGAAGAAAAACAGCGATTTGTGTGGTGCGCTGTGTTTGAGGAGTGATTTCTCGTTGTTTATGAAGCTTTGCAGATGAAATTTGAAAGGTAGAGTAAGCTTGCAGCAGCTTGCAGTAGCTTGCAGTAGCTTGCAGTAGCTTGCAGCAGCTTACAGCAGCTTGCAGCAGCTTACAGCAGCTTGCAGCAGCTTACAGCAGCTTGCAGCAGCTTACAGCAGCTTACAACAGCTTGCAGTAGCTTGCAGCAGCTTGCAGTAGCTTGCAGTAGCTTGCAGGAGCTTACAGCAGCTTGCAGTAGCTTGCAGCAGCTTACAGCAGCTTGCAGCAGCTTACAGCAGCTTACAACAGCTTGCAGTAGCTTGCAGCCGCTGACAGTAAGCCTAGTTTACAGTAAACCCGGCTACTGTTTCCTAGAGTAAACCCAATGAATTTTTCAGCGTTTCAGCACTGCAACTTATAGCCTGTCCGGTTCTACAGTAAGCCTGATACTAGACACTGTTTATTCTACAGTAAGTAATCCTACAGTAATCCTACCGTAATCCTACCGTAATCCTACAATAATTCTATCGAGACAAGTCTACAGTATCCTACAGTACTCTCAGAGCAAACGCAGACAGTTTGGGACCACTTTTTAGCCACCACTACAACAAGGGGAACTTCAGACAGTTCTACAGTACTCTTAGAGTAAATCCAGACAGCTTGGCTAAGCCCAGACCGCCTGCAAAAACGGGGTACTGTAAATAGGGCTAGGGTACTGTAAATTGATATTCAACATGTGCTGTGACATCCAGAACAGGCAAACTTTCTAACCACCACTGCAACAAGCCACCACAGACAGCTCTACAGTAACCCTAGACAATAATCTCAGACATTACGTCACTTTTCCCTCTCTCTCTACATTCTTTGTATCCGTTAGGTCACTTTTTTCGCTCTCTCACCCTCATTTCGCTAAATAATAAACACTAAAAACTAAACTATTACGAAAACGTCGTATTATTGTCTCTTTTATCCAAAATTTCTTTATCATCACCCAAATTCTTCAAAAAGTCATCATTTCTCACCACGTGGGTGATCATTCTCACAGCTGATCGCAAAAAGAAAAAAAGAAAAGAAAAGAGAGTGTTTGATAGAGAAATAATAAGGAAATCGAGGAAATCGAGGAAATGAATTAAAGAAAGAAAAGAATTTCTCTCTTTTTTTGAGAAAAGAGAAGTTTGGCGATCAGCCCACTCGTTTTGCTTAAATGAAAATGACGGTTTATGAAGTTTTTTTCGGATTTTAGTTGCAAAATCGATGCTTTAAGGGTAAAAAAGTCGAATTGGATACTTTATAGAAGGCTTTTGTTTGATTTAATACAGTTCATCAGATTCTACACTGCTCCAAGACAATGACAGCCTGGTAGACAGCCTGGTAGATAGCCTGGTAGACAGCCTGGTATACAGCCTGATAGACAGCCTGGTAGATAGCCTGGTAGACAGCCTGGTAGACAGCCTGGTAGACAGCCTGGTAGATAGCCTGATAGACAGCCTGGTAGACAGCCTGGTATAGAGCCTGATAGACAGCCTGGTAGATAGCCTGGTAGACAGCCTGGTATAGGGCTTAAATTGTTTAAATAGCTTTGGTTAAATGCTTAAATTCTTTAAATTGCTTTGCTTAAATGCTTGAATAGCTTAAATAGCTTTGTTTAAATGCTTAAATTGTTTAAGTTGCTTGGCTTAAATGCTTGAATAGCTTAAATAGCTTAAATGCTAAGGAATCTTCTAGAATCTTATTATCAAAAAATGACGAAATAAACTGCAGAATTTGGCCAAGTGGGAAGGGATCAAAGAGTTCGAAGACTAGGGAAAGAGGAGAAAAGAGAAAGAGGAGAAAAGAGAAAGAAAGAAGAGAAAGACGGGAAAGAAGAAGGGAAAGAAAGAGAGAAAGAAGAAGAGAAAGAAAGAAGAGAAAGACGGGAAAGAAGAAGGGAAAGAAGAAGAGATAGAAAGAAAGAAAGAAAAGAAATCATTTCACTTTCCCCATTGGAATTTTCATTGACAAGAAAGCAAGAAACAGGAGCAAAGGGGAAAGACAAAGAGAAACAGGGCTAGAGTCCGCCCCTTGTGACTCAGCCTTGCCTACCTCAAGCTCCTCCCCCTTTCTCGTTTATATAAACTCATCTCTATTTTCACAAAAAGGATACACTTTTGCATTTTGATTGAATTCTATTTGACACCGTCTACGCCAAGCGTCGTCGCTAAGCTCTAAACTTCAACAATGTTCGCTACAACTGTTTCCGTTTTCGATCGCGTTGATTCATTCTCGGATTTGATGTTATAACAAATGGATAAAAAATGGAATTTTCGAGTTTATGGTGAGCTTTTATAAGTAAATTTATAAGAAAACTCATAAAATTCTCTAAATATTGAAGAAAATCTTCAAATCCATCATTTAATGTTCCAAATTTCAGCTCTCCAGCTCTCCAGCTTTCCAGCTCTCCAACTCTCCAGCTCTCCAGCTCTCCAGCTTTCCAAATGTCACAAAATTTGCTGATTTCTCATCATTTCTTCAAATTTTCATCAAAATCCAGTCAAATCTCGAGGATCTCATCAAATTTTCATTAAAAAAAGATACTCAGCTGATCAATTGAATATTTGCAATAAGATTTTCTCCTTATGAAATGATTTCTTTCAAACAATTTCTTTAAATTTTGAATAATTTGTTTAAATTTAAACTATTTCTTTAAATTTGAATGATTTGTTTAAATTTAAACTATTCCTTTCTTTAAATTGAAACAATTCCTTTCTTTAAATACTGTTTTTACTATTGTACATAATGAAATATTTCTTCTTGTTTTATCTCTAACTTCTGAAGCTTTGAAGCTTTGAAGCTTTTAAACTTCTGAAGCTTTGAAGCTTTTAAACTTCTGAAGCTTTGAAGCTTTTAAACTTTTGAAGCTTTTAAACCTTTTAAACCTTTAACCTTTAAAAACCTTTTGTGCTCTTTTCAAACCGGTGATATTATGCGAAAGTGTGTTTGTTTTTCACCAAAAAATGTGTATGTGGACAATTTCGGGTAATCGAACCAAGAAAATTACGAGTACATAAAGAATTTTGAACGATTTTTGGTAAATTCTAACGAATTGGTAAATGCAAAACATGAAAAACCATCGAAATTACACTCAAAAAGAAACAAATTGGAAAAATTAGACAAATACAGTGCTTACTAAAGCTCACAGCTTGAAGCTTACTATGAATTCTAGCTACTTTTCTTTTCTTTTATGAATAAAGAACAATTTGAGGTGAACAATTTAAGGTGAACAATTTAAGCTGAACGATTTAAGCTGAACGATTTAAGCTGAACGATTTAAGGTGAACGATTTAAGGTGAACAATCATAATGAAGACTCAAAAAATGCGGAAACAATGACAGCACTGGCATTTAACAATGACAGCACTAGCATTTAACAATGGCAACACTAGCATTTAACAATGGCAGCACTGGCGTTTAACAATGACAGCATTGGCATTTAACAATGACAGCACTCGATAATTGTTTCCAATTCTAAACCATTAACTTCATCTAAATATAAACAATAAACTTCATCTCAATATTAAAATCAATAACAGTAACAGTAAAAACAAACATACTCGTTGAAGAATCAAGCCAAACAGCCGTTCTATCACATGCAAAGATGTGCTTGAAAGTGCTCTCTTCGATTTTCTTGTTCATGTTCTGGAAATCGTTGACAAAACAAAACTTTAGGAAATGGTTGACAAAACGAGCGTCTTTTAGCCGCTGTAGCCCATTTGGAATAGCGCTGTCGGCCTTGAAACACTGAATCATATTGTCCTCATCACCGTTGGCTGCAATCACTCAATCTCTACATCGCTTGGAAGCTTTTAACATGTTGTGATCGCGGTCTCAATGAGAATTGGTGCCGCTTTCGAAACAATTCCATTCAACAGTCTTCTTTTTAAAGCGGATGCTTCTTTTATTGCTGCTTCTCGATCAAAACTAGTGTAGCATAAAGAAAAAAGTGTGTGAAAACACTAGTTGTGATCCAGAAACAACAAAAATCGATCCGGCTGAATGCGTAAAGTGGAGTTCATCAATCTCTTTCTTCATCAATCTCTTTTGAGGTCCGCCACCATCGAACCGCTTCCTTTTTTCGTGCATTTTGTTCAGATCATTCGTTTGTTTTTAATGAGACAAAAACAAACAAAAGTCCAATGTATCGTTGAACAAAAGCTCAATCAATTTTGGCATTGGCATGAACGGAGAACGGAGATAGAATCTGGCAGCGGTATGAGCGGAGACTTCACGAGCCATTTTTGCAGCATCAAGTTTAGCTATTGCTATGGCATCTATTGCTTCTTTCTTTTCCTTTAGCTTGTTCGTTCTCTCGTTTGCTTCTTTGTTCGTTTCCTTGTGCAATTCTTTGTTCAATTCACGTTGATGTTCTGGTCTTTCAAAGAATTCGTTTAGTCCGTGCTCACGTTGATCGCGAAACGCTTCAAAGTCATCCGCCACCAACGAACCGCTTCCTTTTTCGTGCATTTTGCTCAGCTCATTTGTTTATTTGACGGATCGTTGGACACAAGCTCGATCAATTTTGGCAGTTGAATGAACGGAGAACGGAGATAGAATCTGGCAGTGGGATGAACGGAGACGCGAGCGATTTTTGCAGAGTCATATCATGGCGAGCCATTTTTGCAGCATCACCATTTTTGCAGAGTTTAGCCATCGCATCTATTGCTTTTTCTTTTGCTTTAGCTTGCGAGCCACTTTTGCAGCATTTGCAGCATCACCATTTTGAACGACATGAACGGAGACGCGAGCGATTTTTGCAGAGTCGCATCATGGCGAGCCACTTTTGCAGCATCACCAGAGTTTAGTCTTCGCATCTATTGCTTTAGCTTGTTCGTTCCTTCGTTTTCTTCTTTATCCGATTCCTTGTGCAATTCTTTGTTCAATTCACGCTGATGTTCTCAAAGAATCCTTTTAGCTCTTGCTCACGTCGATCGCGTCATCCTCATCGTCGCATTAAGTCATCCCAGCTTTCGTGATCGCTCATCGAACCTAATTTTTGCAGAGTCGCATCATGGCGAGCCATTTTTGCAGAGTTTAGCTATCGCATCTATTGCTTTTTCTTTTGCTTTAGCTTGCGAGCCATTTTTGCAGAGTCGTCGCGAGTCATTTTTGCAGCATTTGCAGCATCACAATTTTTGCAGAGTTCAGCTATCGCATCTAGTGCTTTTTCTTTTGCTTTAGCTTGTTCGTTCCCTCGTTTGCTTCTTTGTCCTCCTTCGTTTGCTTCTTTGTCCGATTCCTTGTGCAATTCTTTGTTCAATTCACGTTGATGTTCTCGTCCTTCAAAGAATTCGTTTAGTTCGTGCTCACGTCGATCGCAAAACGCTTCAAAGTCATCGCAGATCGGTCATCGAATCTAAAAAAATGAAATTATTAAAGAAAACAAATAAGAAATGGTAAAAAAGCATTAAAAAGAAGAAGAATTGAATGAAAATATTAGAATTTTCTAGTTGGAAGTTAAAAAGAAAGCTGAATATCAAAAGATTTCTCAAAGGGATTCAGATATTTAGTTAATGGCCGCCAATATTAAAAGTACGATATGTTTTATGTTTTTTTATATCAACATACCGTAAATACTGTAATAGTACCCCACCCCCTCGTACAGTCGCGTAGTCGCAGTCGTAGTCGCGTAGTTTTAGTATTTCATTTTTTCAAAGCGCCCGTACTTTCAAAAAATGCGTCTTTGGTATCAAAAAATAGCCCTGAATTTCAGCTATTTTTTGATACCTAAGCGCGCTTTGTAGCATAAACCAGTGTCGAGAAAAACTCGTTCAAAGCTAGCCTACGCAACACTCCGCACCGTCATTATGGGGGTGAGATACTATTACAGTATTTACGGTAATTAACGTAATAACTAGGCTAAGTAGCTGATTAATACAGTTGGTACGTGTTGCCGTATTTATTGCGCACCCTGGATTCTCTCTCATTTCTTTCTCTACTTTTAGAGGGATAAGGATAAGGGATAAGGAGGGATAAGGAACCAAATTTAGAGAGATTGGGAACCAAATTTAAATTCTCTAGATTTTGTTATTCTTTCGACTTTTCTACGCTTTTATACGTGGCTTAAAGGGACTCGTAAAATTCTTCTTCTTCGTATTCTCAGTAAAATTTTTTTTGAAAAATATTTAATTCGTGTTTATTTGTTAGATTTATTGCTAGAAATGATAAAAATAAATTGACAGAGTAAATTTTTGCTTAAAAAATAGAGTTTATTCATATTATTCTTTAAAGGAGAGCTAAAGGAAAGCTAAAGGAGAGCTAAAGAAGAGCTAAAGGAGAGTTAAAGGAGAGTTAAAGGAGAGCTAAAGGAGAGCTAAAGAAGAGCTAAAGGAGAGTTAAAGGAGAGCTAAAGAAGAGCTAAAGGAGAGTTAAAGGAGAGCTAAAGAAGAGCTAAAGGAGAGTTAAAGGAGAGCTAAAGAAGAGCTAAAGGAGAGTTAAAGGAGAGCTAAAGAAGAGCTAAAGGAGAGCTAAAGGAAAGCTAAAGGAGAGCTAAAGAAGAGCTAAAGGAGAGTTAAAGGAGAGCTAAAGGAGAGTTAAAGGAGAGTTAAAGGAGAGCTGAAGAAGAGTTAAAGAAGAGTTAAAGGAGAGCTAAAGGAAAGCTAAAGGAGAGCTAAAGAAGAGTTAAAGAAGAGCTAAAGGAGAGCTAAAGAAGAGCTAAAGAAGAGCTATTTGTGCAATTGCGATTTCTCATTCTCTTCGTTCAATTCGCGTGATCAACCTTTTAGAGCTTTCTCTAGATTTTGTGATTCTTTTGACTTTTCTACGCTTTTATACGTGGCTTTGTATAAAAGCAAATAAGATTTTGTTATTTTCTCGAAAGCTCGTGGCTCGCTGGCTCGTAGACAAAAAAAAATCAACACAGCATTGGATTCATCATGTTCGATAGACTAAAGCATAGCTTTAAAGCAGAGCTCATCTCATTGCCATTTAAAAGTCACCTCTTTGGAAGGTTTTCTTGTAATTCTTTAATTCTTTGAAAGATAAGCTCTCCAGTGAAATGCCTTACGATGAAAAGTCACTAAAAATGAGCATTATAGATAGGAGCACTCAACCAAAAGTCGCTCAAGGTAGATTAAAGGATAGCTCTTTAAAGCATAGCTCTTTAAAGCATAGCTCTTTAAAGCATAGCTCTTTAAGGCATAGCTCTCCTTTCAATCATAGCTCAAGCATAGCTCTCCTTTAAGCCAGAATACTACTGGATTTCCGAATACAGCAATAGATCTGTTCCAAAAATCGAATTGGTATCTTCTCTAGCAAATTATACAATCTTACAGTACTCGGTAAATCATTAAATGTCTCTAATCTGTTCCCGGTTCTAGGCTTAGTCATCCTCATCACATATCTAGAGAAATATGCAAGGAATGTGGCTGAGAGTGATTGCGATTTGCATATGTGTCTGTCTCCTTCCGGCGGGCTTTCTGTTTACCCGCACACCCACTCACTTATCCCATTCCATAGATTCTCGCCATTCCACTCTCATTCCACTCTCATTCCACCCCAAAAATTCCCTATATAATCATCCTGATTCATCTTTTATCCAGGGATCTTACTGTACTTCGATTACTGTACAGCTACTGTACTTTGTCAGCTACTGTACTTTGTCAGCTACTGTACTTTGTCAGCTACTGTACTTTGACTGTCCAGCTGATTACTGTACTTTGACTGAATCTCTTCCCGGCTACGGATTCCTGTTTGAACTATAACTGCAAATCTACACCCTTTTCCAATGTTCTCAATGAGTGTAACCGTTTTCGATCGTTGTGACACGTTTGCTGACCTAATGGTGTGACAATGATTGACTAAAACAAGTGGGTTACTGTAGCTTTTTGTCTATTTATCTACTCCGCAAATTTTGGAACAAAAACAAGAGAATTAGCGGCAAGAGGAGTCGAACCAGGACCTCTCCTTCATTCGTTTGAGAGACTCTCGTGGTAGCCACTCGGCCATACCATGGCGGAGTGGCAGCAGCATACCCTGGCGCAGTGGCAGCAGCATACCATGGCGCGGTGGCAGCAGCATACCATGGCGGAGTGGCAGCAGCATACCATGGTGCGGTGGCAGCAGCATACCATGGCGCAGTGGCAGCTCAGACAGACAAACAGACAAACAGACAGACAAACAGACAGGCACCAATTTGTCTTAATCTTTAATCTTTTAGAACCAATTCAACAACGGAACGCTTCTCCTGATCTCGTTACGCCAAAATAACCCTTTCGATACTCAGATTCAAATTTCTAACAATATTTTGATAATTTATGTAATAATTTCTTAAAAACCATTCTCGTACGTGTTTTTTTGTTTTGTTTCTTCAACAGGTTGTCATTGACGCGTACACATTTTTACTCGGATTGTGAATAAATTCGGGTCTAGCTTCTTTAATGCATTAAACAAAATACAAAATACGCACAAAATACACCTCTGAACGACCAAAGAACACCTCTAGACTCACCTCTAGACGGCCAAAGACTACCAAAGACGGTATAGTACTAAAGATTTAAGTCAAGGTACGTAAATTGGACTCTAACGTACGCTGTGACATCCAGAATGAGCAATACCGTTAAAATTTTGGTACTTTTTACAAGGGAGTACAAAGAACACCTCTGGACGGCGAAGGACTATCTAGTACAGTACTAAAAACTAAGCCAATGTACGTAAATTGGACTTCAACGTACGCTGTGACATCCAGATTGAGCAATAGCTTTAAAATTTTGACACTTTTTACAAGGGAGTACAAAGAACACCTCTGGACGGTGAAGGACTATCTAGTACAGTACTAAAAATCAAGTCAAGGTACGTAAATTGGACTCTAACGTACGCTGTGACATCCAGATTGAGCAATAGCTTTAAAATTTTGACACTTTTTACGGGGGAGGACAAAGAACACCTCTGGATGGCGAAGGACTATCTAGTACAGTACTAAAAACCAAGTCAATGTACGTAAATTGGACTCTAGCGTACGCTGTGACATCCAGATTGAGCAATAGCTTTAAAATTTTGACACTTTTTACGGGGGAGGACAAAGAACACCTCTGGACGGCGAAGGACTATCTAGTACAGTACTAAAAATCAAGTCAGGGTACGTAAATTGGACTCTAACGTACGCTGTGACATCCAGATTGAGCAATACCGTTAAAATTTTGGTACTTTTTACTTGTAAAAAGGTACTTTTCCCTTGTAAACGGATACTTTTTACTTTTAAGCAATCATTTTTCAAAAAATCATCACAACTTTAAACGAAAAACTCTTTTCAAAACCGTAGGCGTTTTGACTAACCGCAAACAATTCAAAAAAATGTTTACGAACATGATTCGTCAATTTTCTTTTTTTTTTGGCGGAAAACAAGAAATTTGATCCGAGACTTGGCTAAGAAAAGAAATGAGTCACCAACCGATTTCTCACTTTTTCACTCTTTCTTGACTACCGGAATTTGTTTTTTTTGAAAGGAATTTGAACTAAATCTATAATTTGGTTCATTTGCCATACAATGACCTCAAAAATCTATGAGAAACCTCACAAAACTCTAATCTCCAAGATCTCCAAGGTTTTAACTAGTCGTTTACAAGGAAAAAGTGCCAAAATTTTAAAGCTATTGCTCAATCTGGATGTCACAGCGTACATTGGAGTTCAATTTATGTACCATGGCCTAGTTCTTAAGTACTGTACTAGGTAGTCCTTCGCTGTCCAGAGGTGTACGCTGTACTCTCTTGTAAAAAGTACCAAAATTTTAAAGCTATTGCTCAATCTGGATGTCACAGCGTAAATTGGAGTTCAATTTACGTACCATGGCCTAGTTCTTAAGTACTGTACTAGGTAGTCCTTCGCTGTCCAGAGGTGTACATCGTCCTCCCCCGGAAAAAGTGTCAAAATTATAAAGCTATTGCTCAATCTGGATATCACAGCGTACATTGGAGTCCAATTTATGTACCATGGCCTAGTTCTTAAGTACTGTACTAAATAGTCCTTCGCTGTCCAGAGGTGTTCTTTGTACTCCCTTGTAAAAAGTATCAAAATTTTAACGGTATTGCTCATTTTGGATGTCACAGCGTACTTTGGAGTCCAATTTACGGTACCTTGACTTAGTTTTTAGTACTAGACTAGGTAGTCCTTCGCCCTATGGTTTTTCAATACGGGGAATTCGATAGAGTTACTATTTTTGACAATAATTGAATTCAAAGTAGTGTGCTTACCCGAAATGGTTTGCTTTTTTAGCACAAAGTACTTTTTTTAAACCGGATATTTTTTCAGTTTTTATTTAGCAAGCAAGCAAATAAACGATTTTCTCTTTAAAAGTTCGCAAAAAAATTTCCGGAAATGCTCAAAAAAGGACGAAAAACGAAGTGACGAATGTTTTTCTTTAAAGAAATTTTGTGGAAATTGTGGAAATTGTGGAAATTGTGAAAATCGCGGAATTTCATGGGATTCTGTCAAAAATTCTTTAACTTAGTCATCGAATTTTAAACAATTCTTGAGTCATTTCGAGGGAAAAGCGTTTTGAAAGACTTTTGAAAGCTTTATTGAGCTTTATTCGCTGAACATCTTTTGTTAAAGGGAAATTTCAGTTTTTCTTTTTTATTTGGCTTTTTTTTAGGCTCGCTGGGCTGGCTGGGCTTTTTAGGCTGGGCTTAGGCCTAGGCCTAAACCTAGACCGGTTCATTTACCCAAATCTGTTTTTTTCCGTTTCAAGAATTGGGGAAATTCTTGTTTTTTTCCTTTGGGCCTTGTTTGTTGGAGAAAATAGGTTCAATTGGTTGATGGAGCTGGAGATGGAGCTGGAGATGGAGCTGGAGCTGGAGCTGCAGCTGGAGCTGGAATTGGAGCTGGAATTGGAGCTGGAATTGGAGCTGGAATTGGAGCTGGAATTGGAGCTGGAATTGGAGCTGGAATTGGAGCTGGAATTGGAGCTCGAATTGGAGCTGGAGCTGGAGATGGAGCTGGAGATGGAGCTGGAGATGGAGCTGGAGATGGAGCTGGAGCTGCAGCTGGAGCTGGAATTGGAGCTGGAATTGGAGCTGGAATTGGAGCTGGAATTGGAGCTGGAACTGGAGCTCGAATTGGAGCTGGAGCTGGAGATGGAGCTGGAGATGGAGCTGGAGTTGGAGCTGGAGCTGGAGCTGGAGATGGAGCTGGAGCTGGAATTGGAGCTGGAATTGGAGCTGGAGCTGGAATTGGAGCTGGAATTGGAGCTGGAGCTGGAATTGGAGCTGGAATTGGAGCTGGAATTGGAGCTGGAATTGGAGCTGGAACTGGAGCTCGAATTGGAGCTGGAATTGGAGCTGGAATTGGAGCTGGAATTGGAGCTCGAATTGGAGATGGAGCTGGAGCTGGAATTGGAGCTGGAATTGGAGCTGGAATTGGAGCTGGAGTTGGAGCTGGAGCTGGAGATGGAATTGGAGCTGGAACTGGAGCTCGAATTGGAGCTGGAGCTGGAGATGGAGCTGCAGCTGGAGCTGGAATTGGAGCTGGAATTGGAGCTGGAATTGGAGCTGGAGTTGGAGCTGGAGCTGGAGCTGGAGCTGGAGATGGAGCTGGAATTGGAGCTGGAATTGGAGCTGGAATTGGAGCTGGAGTTGGAGCTGGAGCTGGAGCTGGAGCTGGAGATGGAGCTGGAATTGGAGCTGGAATTGGAGCTGGAATTGGAGCTGGAATTGGAGCTGGAGTTGGAGCTGGAGCTGGAGATGGAATTGGAGCTGGAACTGGAGCTCGAATTGGAGCTGGAGCTGGAGATGGAGCTGCAGCTGGAGCTGCAGCTGGAGCTGGAATTGGAGCTGGAATTGGAGCTGGAATTGGAGCTGGAATTGGAGCTCGAATTGGAGATGGAGCTGGAGCTGGAGCTGCAGCTGGAGCTGGAATTGGAGCTGGAATTGGAGCTGGAATTGGAGCTGGAATTGGAGCTGGAATTGGAGCTGGAATTGGAGCTGGAATTGGAGCTGGAATTGGAGCTCGAATTGGAGATGGAGCTGGAGCTGGAATTGGAGCTGGAATTGGAGCTGGAGCTGGAATTGGAGCTGGAATTGGAGCTGGAATTGGAGCTGGAATTGGAGCTGGAATTGGAGCTCGAATTGGAGATGGAGCTGGAGCTGGAATTGGAGCTCGAATTGGAGATGGAGCTGGAGCTGGAATTGGAGCTGGAATTGGAGCTCGAATTGGAGATGGAGCTGGAGCTGGAATTGGAGCTGGAATTGGAGCTGGAATTGGAGCTGGAGCTGGAATTGGAGCTGGAATTGGAGCTGGAATTGGAGCTGGAATTGGAGCTGGAGCTGGAATTGGAGCTGGAATTGGAGCTGGAATTGGAGCTGGAGTTGGAGCTGGAGCTGGAGCTGGAGCTGGAGATGGAGCTGGAATTGGAGCTGGAATTGGAGCTGGAATTGGAGCTGGAATTGGAGCTGGAGTTGGAGCTGGAGCTGGAGATGGAATTGGAGCTGGAACTGGAGCTCGAATTGGAGCTGGAGCTGGAGATGGAGCTGCAGCTGGAGCTGCAGCTGGAGCTGGAATTGGAGCTGGAATTGGAGCTGGAATTGGAGCTGGAATTGGAGCTCGAATTGGAGATGGAGCTGGAGCTGGAATTGGAGCTGGAATTGGAGCTGGAATTGGAGCTGGAATTGGAGCTGGAGCTGGAATTGGAGATGGAGCTGCAGCTGGAGCTGGAGCTGGAGCTGCAGCTGGAGCTGGAATTGGAGCTGGAATTGGAGCTGGAATTGGAGCTGGAATTGGAGCTCGAATTGGAGATGGAGCTGGAGCTGGAATTGGAGCTGGAATTGGAGCTGGAGCTGGAATTGGAGCTGGAATTGGAGCTGGAATTGGAGCTGGAATTGGAGCTGGAATTGGAGCTGGAATTGGAGCTCGAATTGGAGATGGAGCTGGAGCTGGAATTGGAGCTGGAATTGGAGCTGGAATTGGAGCTGGAATTGGAGCTCGAATTGGAGATGGAGCTGGAGCTGGAATTGGAGCTGGAATTGGAGCTGGAGCTGGAATTGGAGCTGGAATTGGAGCTGGAATTGGAGCTGGAATTGGAGCTGGAACTGGAGCTCGAATTGGAGCTGGAATTAGAGCTGGAGCTGGAGCTGGAGCTGGCCTAGTCTGGCTTGTAGATCATGGAACATCAAGTAAGAAATCTGAACCGCTTCAAACTCAATGTCATCACTTTACAATACTGACATTCCATCTCGTTGTGCTATTTTATGGATTCAAATATTCGACACATTTGTGGAATGTGAAATATTTGTGGAATTGCTCAAGAAAAGGCACCAAAAGGGTGCACAAAAGAAGAGGGAAAGAAGAGGGAAAGAAGAGGGGGGAAAGGAATGTGGGAACGAGATGTAAACATTGCTCTTTTTCCTCTTTTCTCTAATTAAGACTTTCGTATGCAAAAATCCTGACCTCTTTTTGTCTTTTGTCTTTTGTCTTTTTCTTTTTCTTTTTCTTTTTCTTTTTCTTTTTCTTTTTTCTCTTATCTCTTGTCTTTTTCTCTTGTCTTTTCTTAAATACCGAATGGAATGCGAAAAATTTGCCTTAGCGGAAACGTGAACTGAACGGGGAAAAGGGGATTTGTTCAAAAATTAACAAGAGCCTGAGCCTGAGCCTGAAGACCCTAGCTTAACTCTGGAGCTGGAGCTAATAGAGCTCTGGAGTTGGAGCTACTGAAGCTCTGGAGCTAATAGAGCTCTGGAGTTGGAGCTACTGAAGCTCTGGAGCTAATAGAGCTCTGGAGTTGGAGCTACTGAAGCTCTGAAGCTCTGGAGCTCTGGAACTCTGTCCAGTACTGTAGATTTCATTGTCCAGTACTGTAGATGATTTCAGATTTCAGTGTGCCTTGATGCCTTAATGCCAAGTTATCTTGATATCTTGATATCTTGATGCCAATTTATCAAAACTTTCCCTTATTAGGAATTATTAGGAAAAACTTTGCTCAAAATCGAGCAACTTGACACTATCACAATTAGTCAATTGCTCTAATATCAGAAGAACAAATGAAAATTTGACAGACTTTTCTGTGCTATCCAGGAAACAAGAGAAAACCATTGTAAAACAAAAGGGATCTAAAGAGCTCAAGTTTTTCGAGCCGGTTTAGTTACCCAAGTCGATCCATCTCAAAGTCCCAAAGTCCCAAAACTCAACTAACTCTTTTGTGCCTAACTTAAGTTCTTCTGTGATATCCAGAACGCAGTATTTAGCTGTTTAAAAATCATAAAATCAAGCTCTCCTTTAGAAAATCGTTCAAAATCGTTGCAAAGCCGGTTTAGTTACCCAAGTCGATCCATCCTAAGGTCCAAAACTCAACTAAAAGCCAACTTAATTTCTTCTGTGCTATCCACAACGCAGTGCTTAACTGTTTAAAAATCAGAAAATCAAGTTCTCCTTTAGAAAATCGTTCAAAATCGTTCCAGCCGGTTTAATTACCCAAGTTGATCTATCCTAAAGCCCAAAATTCAACTAGAAGCTAACTTAAGCTCTTCTGTGCTATCCAGAATGCAGTATTTAGCTATTTAAAAAACAGAAAATCAAGTTCTCCATTAGAAAATCGTTCAAAATCGTCAAAGTGGCGATGGGATTCGAACCAGCGACCTCTCGTTTACCGAGCGAACATTCTACCAATTAGATACTGGTAAAAGGGTACTGCAGACACTGTACAAGCTTACGGCAGACGCTGTACAAGCTTACCACTCGTACGTCGGTTTAGAATCACGAGATTTATTCGTCAGTAATCACTTGCTGTAAAGGACAAGGATTACTGTAGGATGCTGAGGATTACTGTAGGATGCTGAGGATTACTGTAGGATGCTCAGGATTACTGTAGGATGCTGAGGATTACTGTAGGATGCTGAGGATTACTGTAGGATGCTCAGGATTACTGTAGGATGCTGAGGATTACTGTAGGATGCTCAGGATTACTGTAGGATGGAAACTACCGTAACCCTTTTGAATCATTGCTTTTTTTGGAAAACGAAAAGAAAAGAAAACTCAGAAAAGGGAAAATCCGGTTCTTATGCAAATTCGGTGGCTGCTTTTCTGAAGGAAAATCGCTGAGAACATCACAAAGACATAAATAATGAACTGAGAGAAATCTCTGGAAATCTCTGAAAATGAATTGATCAAATGATAAAAAGAATTGATAAAACGATCGAATCATCACCGGAAATGCCTCAAATTCCACAGATTTGCGCCAAAAAAAGCAAATTTTATACGCTTTTCCCAAATCACTTAAATCTTTCCTTCAAATAATCTTTCCTAAGCCCTCAAATAATCAAATGATTAATTGCTCTAGTGCACCTTGAGCGTCGCCTAGATTCCTCAAAATCTCGAGAACCGCTTATCAGAACCTATCGATGTGGGGTCGAAAAATGTAGCTGACGATGAGATCTAGTGAATGATTTGAGTGTTGAGCCTCTGGGAAAGCTTGGAAACTGTAAAATCGTCACCAACTCGGCTCGCTAGAGAGCACTACTATTAGAGAAAAGACGATAATTGGATAATTCCTAGGTCTTTCTTTTTTAGTTTCCTTCACTTTCCTTCACTTTCCTTCACTTTCCTTCACTTTCTTTGTTTCAATTTCCTTTTTTCTTTCTAATTATCTGATTTTTAGGACTCGGACTTCCAAATATGGAAAAAAAAGCAAATTCGGATGATTCTTTTGAATTCAAACTCGGGCATTCAGCAACAAATGCAACAATCAAATGCAACAATCGATTTGGGAAAAAGCACTGTATCAGTTCGCACTGCGAAAGTTTCGTTTAAGTGATTCCACAAAGGAGAAGAGAATCTTCAAGATGGAGGACCGAGACCGACCTCGACTACTTGATAATGAGGATTTGAAGCGTCTTGTTGAAGCTGATCTTCGGATCCCTAAGTCTAAGTCTAAGCCTGAGCCTGAGCCAAGCCAAGCCAACCCAAGCCAAGCCTAAGCCAAGCCAAGCCAAGCCAAGCCAAACCAAGCCAAGCCAAGCCAACCCAAGCCAAGCCAAGCCAAGCCAACCCAAGCCAAGCCAAGCCAAGCCAACCCAAGCCAAGCCAAGCCTAAGCCTTCTATCTGAATAAAGCTTCTATCTGAATAAAGCATATATACCGTATTTTCTAGTAGTGCACCGGGAGCGTCGCCTAGATTCTTCGGAATCTCGAGAACCGCTTATCAGAATCTATCGATGTGGGGTCGGAAAATGTAGCTGACGATGAGATCTAGTTGGAGATTAGAGTGTTGAGCTTCTGGGAAAGCTTGGAAACTGTAAAATAGGCATCAACTCGGCTCGAGCACTACTATTAGAGAAAAGATGGTAATTGGATAATTTTGAAAGAAATTTCATTCGAAAAACGGCGACATTTTGGGATCAATGATAGGAAATAGAAAAATCTTAAGAATGAGAAGACAAGAAGTCAAGAAGTCAAGAATGAGAGGTCAAGAAGTCAAGAATGAGAAGACAAAACAATCTCAAAGTCAAAAATGAGAAGTTCAAGGTGAAATTTGGAAATTTGAGCTAATTTGAGCAAATTTCGGGAGAAATTTAGAGAACAATAGAGCCACGTGAGGAAAAAAAATAGAGAAATGTCTCGAATTTTTATAAAATAGGAGTTTTTCCTTTAGATTACTTTGAAATAAGCTCAAATATGCTTAAAAAGGACAATAGATAAACAAAGGAGCTTCTTGGAGCTTCTGGGAGCTTCTTGGAGCTTCTTGGAGCTTCTTGGAGCTTCTTGGAGCTTCTTGGAGCTTTTTGGAGCTTCTGGGAGCTTCTTGGAGCTTTTTGGAGCTTCTTGGAGCTTCTTGGAGCTTCTTGGAGCTTCTTGGAGCTTCTTGGAGCTTCTTGGAGCTTCTTGGAGCTTCTTGGAGCTTCTGGGAGCTTCTCCCAGATTCAACCACTGCCTTTTACGTGTGGGATTATTGAAACAGACCCACTTATCATCTGAAGTAAGAATTGAATTCGAAAAGCCTTTTGATTTTGATTTACTAAGCGATAGCTAAATTCCTATGGCTAGATTCGTATCGCTGAGACGATGAGGTACCCACTAGTCATGGGCAAAATCCCCATCCGAGTCGAGCCGAGCTGGGCCGAGCCATCTCACTAATTCGATCTGGATCCGAGCCCGAGCCTGAGCTCAAGCTTGCGCTAAGATATGCAAATTTTTAATACATTTTGAATCGAAAAACTTTTGGAGCTAATTTTTGACTGCTTCTTCCGAGTCGAAGTGTTCTCCCGCAAGCTCATGATCCAGAATAAATAGTAATCAAAAGGGGCGAGGTCCCGACTGTATGCGGGATGCGCCAAAAGTTCCCAACCAAGGCTGTTTATTTTAGAGCGCGTCAGTTTTGCAACATGAGGACGCGCGTTGTCGTGAAGGAGAACGATGAAGCCATTCTTTTCAAGCAAACTTCAAACAAGAATATTTCCCGCTGGACCTTGCATCGACGCTTGCTTCAAGCAGCATTGCATACTATTGGGTTGGTGAATTGAAAGCTGCCGGACTGGAGGACTGTAGGACTGGAGGACTGGAGGACTGTAGGACTGTAGGACTTGAGGACTGTAGGACTGTAGGACCGAAGATGTCCCAGTTTGAGCACTTTCTTCAAAAGAAACCCATTTTCGTGTCAATAGAAAAGTTGTAGAGAATCAAAAATTAGGCTTATAGCCAAATTTCCAAAAAGATACACTCAGTAGTTTCGCTTAAAATACGAGTTTTGTTGCGAATTTGTGAAAATTCGTAAATTTCGCATTTCTGGAAAACCAGTTTTTGAATCGTTCTGAAAATTTGGCTATAAGCTTGATTTTTGATTCTCTACAACTTTTCCATTGACACCAAAATGGGTTTCTTTTGAAGAAAGTGCTCAAACTGTCACCTATGACAATAGCCGGCAGTTTTCAATTCAAGAATCCAATAGTCAGACCAGAAAACTAATATTTTCAGATTGTAGCCTGACATCCAGATTGACCAAAAAGGCATTCAGTTTTGAATAGTTTTCAGCCAGATTTTCAGCTTTTAAGCGGAGAAGGAACGGTTCAGAAATCTAAATTTTTAAATTAGTTAGACTCGAAAACTAATATTTTCAGATTGTAGCCTGACATCCAGCTTGACCAAAAAGGCGCTTAGTTTTGAATAGTTTTCAACCAGATTTTCAGCTTTTAAGCGGAGAAGGAACGGTTCAGAAATCAAAATTTTTAAATTAGTCAGACCTGGAAACTAAGCTTTTCATATTGTAGCCTGACATCCAGCTTAGCCAAAAAGGCATTTAGTTTTGTCAATTCTCCAAGGAGATTTTCAGATTTTAAGCCGACAAGTGACGGTTCAGAAATCTAAATTTTTAAATTAGTCAGACCAGAAAACTAATATTTTCATATTGTAGCCTGACATCCAGATTGACCAAAAAGGCATTCAGTTTTGTAAAGTTTTGTAAACCGTCCACCGTACACTTTGCCTTTCAGACGTTTCCGCGCCAAACGTCGGAAACTACCGTACGGAAACAAAGGAGACAGTGAAGAAAGTGAAGAAAGCTTATGGAGCCCGTTCTCGACGAAAATGGATATCTAAAGACGTTT